TTCACTCACAACCCCAGGTTCAGTATAAACAGGACAGACCTCACACAACTGTTTTCAATAGCAACAGCACAGACGCATTTTTTATTTAATGGAAAATTTTATGACCAGACGGACGGTGTTGCGATGGGCTCTCCCTTAGCACCCATACTTGCTAACATTTTCATGGGCTCACATGAACGAAACTGGCTAAACAACTACAACGACACTAAACCACTATTTTACCGCAGATACGTTGACGATATTTTTTGTGTTTTACTAACGAGACTGAGGCCATGAAGTTTTATAATTACATTGACACACAGCACGCAGACATTAGGTTTTCATTTGAAACTGAACAACAAGATCAACTGCCATTTCTTGACATTTTACTAACAAAATCTCACGACAGCTGTACAACATCTACATACCACAAACCAGCAAACACAGGACTTCTGACGAACTATTTTAATTTCACACCAATTTCATACAAAACCGGACTTATACGCACACTAATCGACAGAGCATAACAATATCGTCACCTGATTTTTTCAGGTCCTGAGACGATTGCTTAAATTGTCCAGCAAAGTGCGAAGATCATATCTTCATTTAATTTCAAACACCGCACTGCATAAAACATTCTCACCACTGTGTGACTTCATAGCTCAGTTGGTCAGAGCACTGCACCGGCACCGCAGAGGTCATGGGTTCGAATCCCGTTGAGTCACCTGATTTTTTCAGGTCCTGAGACGATTGCTTAAATTGTCCAGCAAAGTGCGAAGATCATATCTTCATTTAAGAGCATACAAACTTAACAATACGAACACTGGCTTTCAACGAGACATAAAAAACATCACATCCACTCTTTTACGAAACTCTTTCCCACTTCACTCTATTAACAGAACCGTAAAACGATATCTCGACAACAGACAAAGCAACAACCTCATACTAGACACCGAAACTCCTGACACGACGATCACAACCAACACAAATGAAAATTCCAAAATAACAACTCTATACTCCAAACTACCATACATCGGACATTACTAACGACACACACAACGCAGACTTACAAACATTATGAAACGCTTCTGTAAAGATATTGACATTCGACTTATTTTCACATCATTCAAAATCAAAAACCTTTTCTCATTCAAAGACCCAATCCCTGATTCAATTAAATCTATGGTGGTATATGAATTCAATTGCGCGGGATGTAATTCCCGATACATTGGCGAAACTTCGCGCCATTTATCCACCAGAATCAGGAAACATACCACAATAAACAAAAACTCTTGTATCTACCGACACCTTCTTAAATCTTACTCATGCAAAACCAACTATTCACCCTCTTGTTTCAAAATCATCGACACTGCCGACACCTCATTCACCCATAAAATCAAAGAAGCACTCCACATTAACAAAACTAACCCTGACCTCAATGTTCAAGTTTTTAAATTCAATACAATATTTAGTTTATAATACGCTCGGACGCTCCTCATCAATTTATCTTATTTCCTTTTTATTGTTATAATTTAGGTATCATATTACTTTTATATAAACCCTGTATCACCTATTATTTCACTCATACTGAAGATGGCATCATGAGATGTCGAAACATGTCTATTTTCAAAAAAGTTGTCGTTTATATTAAATGTCCATTGGCAATAGTGCTTTTACGAAGTTGTAAAGTAACTTTCGTGATTTCGTGTGTTCAGACTGAGTGCCCTGGCACGGTGTTCAGGCACGGGTACCAATGTGAACACAAAATTTTGATGGTGCCAGTGTATAAATGCCTGGGTCTAGACACCACGAAAAGAGGTATTACCCAAGTACAGTGCTCAGGCACGGGCACCGATGTGAACGACGACACCTTAGTAACGTGTACAGAAAAGCATACATTCAGCACATGGTTTTAAAACTTGTTTACAAAGAAAAACATGAAATTATAAATAAACGAAGCTAGTGGGGACTACGTAGGGTGAAAAACCTGCAGATTTTTGTCAGAACCAGGGTATCGTACTCCGGCATTAAGTCTGAACGCGCTATAATTGATCAATCTAACGTCAACTAAAAAATGAAGGTAGAACATAAGACATGAAATACAGTATTTTCCTGGGGCGGATTTTTATATTTTTACACTTTACAAAGCAAAAGATATTGAAAACTAGGGGGGGGGGGCTAATTGCTCTTCTTCTCCGCGGCCACTGCTGATACTCACACGCAATAGAGAAAATAATTTACAAATTATTAGTAATTAGGAAAAGATACAGGATGTGCGTAGTTAGGGAAAGGGAGAAAATTAAAGTTGGAAAATACTATTAAAATGTTGGACTTGTTTGTTCATGTCTGGTTTGTGTCGACGTATGTGTAGGGTTTGTTTGAGTTTGAAAGTGAATGAAGTGTTAGCAGTGTTAGAGAAGCGTGACGAAGTGTATTTAGATTTGCTTTCAGATTTTGTTAATGTTTGTCAACGTGGAGTTTTTTTCGGAGGTCCATGTGGCAAAATTTCTGGTGGTTTCATGTATGTCACAGCTGTATCATATTTCTATCTTAAATCTGCGACTAAGATGGCTTGTATTGAAGTCGAAACATGTCTGTTATTAAAATAACAAAATTGAAAAATATTGTCGTTTATTTAAATGTTTACAAAATATTACATAGAATGAAATCACGGTAATCAATATATGCAAGTATATGAGGTTAAATAGTTTGAGATAGAGACGAAAACACTTGTATAAAAAAGATATTAATTTAGGCAAAAAGGTTTCAACTTTTTAGATCTCCATTAGACGCAACATATAGTGGTGATGGCAGGATTTTATTTTTTTGGGGAGGAGAAGTGTAACACCTCCAAAATGTCACATACAATGTATAACGAAATGTTTTATTCAACTGAAACTTTCAAGTTACGTTTACAGAAACCTCAGTTTGTGAAATATATTATTGGCAGTCGTCCCCCTTGCCGGAGCCTCTGACAATACATTAGAATCAAAAATCACATAAAAACAGAAAATGCTCTCATCTTGGAAAGCATTTATAGAGTACTTAAAACATGCATATTGAATATTATCAAACGAAAAAAACCATTTAGTGAAAATAACAACTAAATTAAGACATTGTATAGTGTCATGGAATCCTAATTTGGCTACCTCGTTTAACATAAAAAGTTGTTGGTATTACTAAGCTGTAAAATGTTTCTTGAGATTGTCTCTTGTTTTCCAGTCAGTCGACCTTATGATTTTGTGCACCAGAAGAGGCAGTTCAGGAAAACGTTGCAAGAAATAATCTATATAGTTGCCTTCCTTGACGTAACGCAACAGATGTGTTCGAGGTTTATCGTACCAATGCTCATTCACGTTTCTAATGAATCTTAAACAACTTGCCCATGTAGGCTTGTCAGTCAAAGTTTTCCTTTTGCCTTTCTTGTTAAAGGTTTTTAAATCTTTCAAGATTTCATCATCGATACGCGTCATCCATTCGATGGGATCATACAATTGCGCAACAACATCTGAATTTGGAAAACTTTGACCTTGTGATTGTTTCATTTCCGGTTGGTTTCCCATATCACACAGCATGTTAAACTTCTCTTCATCGGATAGTAGATAAGGATGTTTTAACGCCTCGTTGGCTGATGGCCTGTCTTCTGGTTTTAGTTGTAGCATCCATAACAAAAGGTCTAGGAAAGCAGTATCCTTTATTTCGTCCAAGCCAACATGATTTCCATGTAACAAGTTTTGTAGTCTACAGTCTTCAGTCCCAAAAGGATGCTTCCCTTTGGTTGCAACATAATAAGCCAACATTCCTGCGTTCTAAATCGATCAAACAGAATAGCGTGAATAAACTGTCAAGAATTTAATTTATGTGTCATTTACTAAAGGATACATTTCTACACCTACCATTACATCTGACTCTTTTTTGTAACGTGCTTTATCAACTGAATCTTCATCTTTACAATATGATTCAGGAGCAATCCAATCCTGAGTTCCCTTTTTAGAGCTAGTATGATATGTCTTAAGGCCACCCTTCAATTCTCGACTTATACCAAAGTCAGCAATCAGAAATTTACTATGTGCGTCTCGGAGAACATTGGAAGGCTTTAAATCCCGATGTAGAATAGGACATGGGTCGCAGTGAAGATCAGCTAATCCTTTTAACATTTGTCTGAGAATTTCGGGAAGAGCTTTTTGAAGATCTTGTAATGTAGAAGATTCCACAAAACTCTCCAACGATTCTTCACATATGTCTAGTATCAAATAGACATAGTCTGTTCCAGTCTCCTCTTCTAAGTAGTAATATTTCACAACATATTTCGACTCTTTTGCGTTGAATTTGTTCAAGATTTCCTTTTCTTTCTGGGCAATAGTGATGCAGTTATCTCGACGTATTCGTTTCACTGCTCTGCCGTAACCATCCTTTTTCAGTCCCAGATAAACACGGGTTCCATCACTTCCTCTACCGATGCAAAACTCCTCAGAGATTATCACACGTACATTGTCTACATGCTTGACCTCGACATTGGGATTTCGTCCATACTTGATCAATTTTAAGAACAATTCTTTATTTTTAACAGATTCACCAATGTATTCCCACTCTGATGACAGCAGTTAATAAAATAATAAAAGTATAAAATTAAGGTTAAGTAAAACGGAAACAATCAATGAACAGATTACTAAAAAGCTTTCTCATTAGTGTTAACTCTCTACCTTTTTCGTTCTTTTTCTCAATGATTTCTTGTAACTTGGCTTCCATCGAATTTCTTAAGTAATAACGCTCTTCTTCATCGTATATTTGCACCAGACGCTCCATGACGTGCTTTTGTTTTTCTATATCTTCATCTTTTGTGACCATCTCCAGATATGTTTCATATATAAATGTTGCATCTCCCCATTATTCAAGTTTATCAAACAACTCCGCTAGTTCCCATAAAACAGCCAACACTCCCTTCACAATTCCAGCTGAAGTAACAATTGACAAGTTCTTCATGTTAAGGTTGACGAAATCTTTACCAACGTTGATACCACAAACTTTTCTTTGTCGTTGTGGTCGATGATGCTGTTCATGTTGTTGCTGTTGAGATTCAATAAGAGAGAGTCCTTTTCTATAATGGTCCAAAGATTGCTCATAATTTTTAAGCAACTTATTCAATCCTCCCAATGCAATATGGCAGAGACATTCCATTTCATCTTTCTTCATGGCGTCCTCCAATCTTTTAATGTTAGAATGAACACTCCCCAGGCCAAGGTATACTTGATGTTCAAAATATTCCCTTTCAACTTTAGACGAAAACTTTAAGCAATGCTTAAAACTGTTCAATCCTTCCTCCCAATTATCAGAGAGTGTGTAAGCATTACCAAGACCAAAATATGCTATCGTTTTCAGGCTATTTTCGTCTGCAACTTCTACACAGTTATTGTAATGTTCAATAGCTGTTTTATAATCGCCACTATTCATAGAACAATTCCCTTCTTCCAAGATCCCCATAACTGCTGGAACCGTGAAAGCTAGATCTCTTCTAGTAGTAATGCAAAAATTTATCTAAGTTCTCCAATGTTCTTCATGTGATTAGCAAACTTTTCTTTATTGTACTTATTTTTTTGTGCCAAACATCAAAGTTAACTGTTTAACTATATAAGGCAAAATTATGAGCTTTTTTTAATCCACTCTTTAGTTTCAAAATTACAATAGAGGAAATTCATTTATGGAAGTTTAGAGCAAGAAAATGAGAGATCTGACTAGCATGTATGTAGAGTGGGTGTAGAGTGTTATATATCAATAAGTTAAAGATAGGGCAATTTTGCGAATTGAAGGCAAATCAATTCTCGATAATGAATGTTTTAACATTCCTCCCCCCCCCGATAAGTATCGTAAGTTAATTAATTCATTCAAGTGCCCACTTCAGCAACATTGAATTTAGGAGTGATTTCCATCGTATTAGTAAAAAGTTTTTAAGTTTCTCAAATCGCTCCATTTTTGCATATATGAACAAAAGCCCCTCCACCCAATTAGCGATAGCAATACATCCCTGAAAGACAACGTGTGTGTTTGATAAAATTAAGCTTAGTAAGCCATTGAAGGTGAATAAATAACAGAGTAGGATTACGGGTGCAGTTGAATTAAAGTCAGTGACTTGTACTACAACCGACCTGTAATAGTATAACTGCTGTGTGGTAGTAAAACTGACCTGTAATTAGTATACCTGCTCTGTGGTAGTACAACTGATCTGTAATAGTTTAACTGCTCTGTGGTAGTACAACTGACCTGTAATTAGTATACCTGCTCTGTGGTAGTACAACTGATCTGTAATAGTTTAAGTGACCTGTGGTAGTACAACTGACCTGTAATTAGTATACCTGCTCTGTGGTAGTACAACTGACCTGTAATAGTACGACTTTCCTGGATGATCAAATGTTCTCACAACAACAACAAGTTGTTGATGATGAACACTAGACACATCATCGCCATATTGACTGTAACCTATGTTGGTATAATTTCTCAATAAATCGCTGGGCATCATGTTTCTTGAAATGTTGTCATGTGACGCCATACTACGTGACGTCATTGCGGTTGTCTCCTTGGAAGAAAAGTTGATTGGCTGTAACCTCTCTGTACGTAGTGGAGCATTGGACTTTAGCTTCACATATTCTCCATATTTATCATCCATATTGAAATTAACACTTTCCTTTTTTCTGTTTTCATGAAACTCTGAAAAAACTTCTATTCTTCGATAACACGATACTCATTAGCAACTCGTTCCACATTAGATCCACGATTCTCGTGGGAAACACGAATCACGTCGTCCACACGACTCTCTTTAGCATCACGACTTTGATTCGCTGATACACCAGCATTTTGAAGGGTTTCATGAGACATTTGTAACCTGTTTCTATTGCCAACATTACTTTCTTCAACAGACCCATGATCTTCCAAGCCTAAAATATGAACTTTGTCTGTTTTTACGTTATATTAAACTTCACCCTCGTTTGCACCACTATCAATTTCATCCAAAGTATTTTCTCTCATAATTTTAGTAAAAGTTTTACTGTATATGCCTCCTTAAGCAGACTCTTTTCCATCCTTCGTATCGAATTTAAAGGACATTGGCAACGAAAATTTTTATGGCATATTTTTGAACCTTTGTGATGTCTAACAACTAAAATAGAAAAATTTTTTCTTAAAAATATTTTGTTGCTGAGATATTTGCAGCAAAAGTTCTATAAATTGCGCCATCTTGGATAAAATTTTGATAAAATTATCTCGAGCGGTAGTGACGTCATTGGCTGGTGAGCAGTCAAAACAACAATACAATAAACTTTGTGATTGACTGCGTTACAACACATTTAAAGCGTATTTTACGGGTTTTTTTTGCTGTAATGGGTGACATACACGAAAATCAACCGGTTGAGGTTCTGCCCTATCAATATGAACCTGAAGTGAAGGGCGAAACTAGTGAAGAAAGCGGTTCGGAACAGGAGAGTGAGCAGAGCGACTTGTCCTCGTCGGAGGATGAAATACATGCTGAATTTGAGAAAGCAAATGCTTCGCGCCTTCAAAGTCTTAGTTGGTGTAAGTGTGGACATTGTACTTTGTCAAAAAAGGCAATCGAGCGTTTTTTTTGCCACGAAAAAGCCCTTGTGTTTATGCTAGCATGCTTGTGTTTATGCTAGCAAACGAAAACGCTTCGCGTCACCAGACGGACTTTATACACATTTTAAATACGCATGTTATCATGAAAGACCGTAAATTTAGTCTTAGACAGACGCTCTTTGATGATCTTTGTTATGATCTGCAATTGCGATGCCATATCATTGTCAAAGGATTGTCACGAACTGCGCAAAAGCAAAATGTATGAATGATCCACCCAAAACTTGTATTCATTCATAAGTTATAAAGTTAATCGAAAAGTGTACTTGTACATTGTGCACGCAAACATGCACGTAAAACATTACGGATAAACGAAACTCTACAGTCAAGAACAAAACATAGCGGCTTAGAGCTTATCACCTATATAAAACTACATAATCTTTCAAAGACTCTTATGTCTAAAAATAATAAATTAAACGTATAAATGGGAAAATGAAATATTTCTATTGCACGAAATGTGCAGTGTATAAAACGCGCTAGTTGTTGTCTGGGCTTACACTTGGTATGTCGGCAAAGCCTAGTTGTAAGATCTGCTAAAATAAACGTTTCTACGTCTTATAACGACTAAATATTGGAAAAGTATATAAGCGTGATAAACTACACAACTTTTGTTAATCTTAACAACCGCCGACTGTTGTTTTGTTTTAAAATTCCAGTGAACAAATGTGCTATATATTATTATAATACTATTATTTTATATTGTGTCATTCAGTGGATACCAGCCAATGACGTCAGTAATGTATTCCGGCATAATTTAGCATAAGGCTTTTTTTCCAAAATGGCGGATAAGGTTCAACTTTATGTCAAATTTTCTCAACAGCAAAATTCAAAACAGACACGAAAACACGAAATTAAGTATTCCGTAGCTATCTATGATAAACGTATGAAAAAAAAATTTTCGTTGCCAATGTCCTTTAAGAAGACGAAGCTTGAATTGAAACATTGAAAATGTTTGTAGAAAAAGGAAATCAAGCGAAGTGATAACGGTAATTTATACGACAAGTTTTTTTAAAATAAACATGTTTCAACATCTTATTTGCCATGTCGTTTTTATCAAATGTGCTTTATCTATAGTGCTTTTACGCAGTTACGATAACTGTGATTATAGAGTTGGTAGCAATTGCCAAACATCTGGGATGTGACCACCATTTTCAGCCGGTGTAATATAGACTGAAGTTTTCATTATTTTCTACAGAATCTTAAACAAAATTGTGTTAACAACTTACCTCTCGAAAAAATATCTTGAAATAATTCTCTCTAATAAACGACCATTAAAGTTTGAAAAACAGATAAACCAATAGCAATGGCAAGCGGAAACAGATCTTAAATTGTCCTTTTATTATTCCGTGCAGTCATTTTCAAGACTCAGTTCAACAAGTAAATATTAACATAGAAAAGATATCCTTTTTCCAGTCTTCAAATGTGAAAGTAGCCATATTCTTTGAAATATTGTACATTCATCCATGTTTTAGAAAAGTGGATAGAAACACGAAATTTGCCGATTCGAAACGAAGCATTTTTTGATAAATTTTTAGTAAAAGTTTTCGTTATTTGAATTAAAGGTTTAGATTTGCAGACTCACAGATTAGGCTTCGGACACCGGCAAGAAAAATGAAAAGTCATTTCATACATACGCAGTAGAAAACTACGAAACTAGATTATTTACGATAATAGTTATTGTTAATAGACGATGAAATCATTGCATATTTCATTCGTTAAGGAAAAAACAACATGTACGCCGAACGGTGGAAGATTTTCACATAAAAATAAGCATTCAACAAAGTCTTGTTTAATGTTTAAAGTTTGATGTACAAGTACCGACCTGTAATAGTTTGACTTTCTTACTAGATCAAAAGTTCTCACAGTAAGAACAGTTGTTGATTTTGAACATTAAACACATCATAACCATGTTGACCAACATAGTTCACCTTCTCACCAGTGTGTTTATTGGCTGTAAACTCTTTCTTTAAGTCATGGAACATTAGTCCTTAAATTCACATATCCTCCATTATTATCATCAATGTTGCCATCATTGCTTTCCTGTTTTTTTTTGTTTTCATGAAACTCTAGGTTAGACTTACATTTCACAACATGGTCCTCGTTAAATACACGTCATCGGGAAAATAGAATTAGCTACGTCACCTATACGAAACGATAAAGTTTAAGCTGGGAAATAATGTAAAACATTTACGTTATCAACAGAAATATAAACTAAATGATGGTTAAGTAGTACAGTTCTAAAGTAACTTTGAGCATCTTTAAGTTTGTGTTGTAGATTTGTTCTATCATAATCGCAAATATCCATCAAATTGTATTTAAAGAAAACGAAGTTCCAACACCCTACATGGCCTAAATTGAAATTTTTCCACCTTTACGATTCGCAATAGGGGTTTTATAGAGTAAAGATTGCTGCATTGATGGAGTCAACGACAATAATAAAATCTTCTATAGTGACTGATATCTTCATTATCAGTGTCTGTCTCAAGGCTCATCAAAATACCTTTAATTTCACAGAATTTAACAGCGAATGCATCCTACCCAAGATATTTCATAAGTCTGTTTTTTGATATTGTTGTTCACCATGTTAAGGCTTTTTCCTTGAAAATTGTCTGCAAAAGAAATTATTTCTATTTTGAAGTTCTAAAATTTACATTCAGATATGATTTGGCTAATATCACCAAAATGTAAAATGTACATGAATATTAAAAGCCAAACATTTTACCACAATGTATTGATTTGTAATGCATTCATTTTTGTCTAAGCTTTAAGTCGAGAATAACTATAGAATCACAGTGTAAATGTCGCCACAAGTGACGGCATTATCACCCAGTACTTAATTCTTATACTCTAATCATGAGGATATGAATTGACATGTCGCAATTCCTAAAATCACTTTCGACCACTTGTGATGCACTAAACGTGCGGTAAATACAAAAAGCTAAATAACTTTACATTTTATCTAAATTTTTAAATCTCATCAACACGTTATAATTTTAATTTTATTGTTTTCATCTTAACTTTTTATTTAGATCTACTGGATGTAAACTGTAAGAAGTCGTGGCTTTTTCATGATTTTTAGAACTAGAAAAATAGTTCTTATTCTTGTGTCTACCTGTCGTAGTAAAATGCTTTAAAGTCAAAGCAAACAGAGTCGACAAAGTTTCAAACATTCAGACAAAGATGGTGCATTGTGCAATTGACATAACCAAACTGAGTATGTCGGAATTACATAGAACATAAAGATACTGATGACAAGTGTGAACTATAATAACTAACCAAACGTAACATGAAGAGTTTATGAGTTTGAAAATATTTTCATGCTTTCATGAACATTTAACAACTATGATAAACGTTCTACTTTGTCAATTTTGAAATGTTTGCTTTTAGTTACCTCAATCCTGTACTATGACTACTGTCCAGCAAGATATGAAACGAAACAACATACCAGAAACAAGAAACAAGGTATGTTTCTCATTTCAGGGTGATAGTTCAACAAACTTGTAACGAAAATTGCAATTCACTTTTCCACCTTAATTCACAATTTCACACCCTGAGATTCGTGACCAGTGTAAAATGGCCTTTCTGCCTAGTTTATCACAAAAGAATATCATGCCTTTAGTAGAGTGAAGACAGTACATACATGAGCATTGCATTCATATTCAAAAACTGACAAAAGTCTGTTTTGATGAATGACAGTTGCCCCACAAAAAAACATTGATGCAATATCAGTTCATCATTGATAAATTTAAACACAAACCTTCATTTTCAACAACATAAACAACGACAAAATATGACAAAATATACAGTTGAAATAACCAAATCATGTTGCAATGACAGGAATGTCTTCAGGAAAACTGACCTGAAATTAGCAAATACTTGATTTAAGAAAGTAAAGTGCAGTTATTGTTTTACAAATATATATTGGCACATGATACATGCTTAAAACTGATCAACTATATAAATAGTCTTCAATACATCACAAGTGTATGATCTCAATCACCAACAATTTACATATAAACCATTCACCTTTCCTTGAGCTTTAAAGATATAATCACAAACAGAGCATCCTAAAACACTTCTCAAATTCTTTTCCAGAAATATATCTCGAAATATACATGAAAAACATGATAACTTCCTTATACCTTCCCTTTGTTCATACTTTCCTTCATACAAAACCAGGAAAGGAGCCAGTCCCGGAGAGGAAATAAATATGTAAGTCATGTATATGCAAAAATTACTAACCCTGAGAATCATTGTAAAATCCACAAATAACAAAACCTGTAAAGAATTCGCAACATAAAATGATATTTCTCGTTTGTTTAAATTAAAAAATGGTTATAAAACTATTTTCATTTAAGTTCATTTCGTAAATATTTATTATATTTCTTCTAACAGGTTAGCACTATTTTCCACCCAGCAAACCGCCCTTTACTTTGAAATATAATATTTTACACAATATAATATTTTACACAATCTAATATTTTACACAATATAATATTTTATATAATATTTTACACAATCGTCGAAAAACGACATTTTCCAGCCTGGATTATAAGTTTATAACTTAAGGTGGTTGCATGAAAATTTATACTGCAACATTTATCTCTAAATATTTTCATATGTTGATATTAAAAACTGTATTATAAAATGATAAAATTACTCGCCATCTCAAAACGACCTAGCACCAGTGCATGCATGGTTTCCTTTTAGCTTTTGGTTCTTTCCCATTAGCCGCCATCTTTAATTTATTTCCGATTGTGTAAAGTAAAGGGTGGTTTGCTGGGTGGAAAATAGTGCTAACCCTTCTAACAACGATGTTTCCATTTAAAAAAATTAACATTCATGTTACTAGTCCCCAGTACACTTTAGACTCACCAACATTACCTTACTTATTTTCAGTTGATGTCAGGATATTTTCCTCCATTTTTAATAATATGAGTATGACCCATGTCCTCCGTCCCGCACGCCTTTATTTCTTTCATAAGTAGTAGGTTCGGCGAAAAAAGAAAAAGCTCAAATGGAAACCACCGAAACCATATCCTTCGCAAATTTCTACGTAAACCAAAGTTGTCACCCGATTCAAATAAATCCCCTTAAACGAAGAAGTTGAAATCTAAGAAATCGATCAGGAAATCATGAAAGAAAAACATTTATCACTCAACAACAATGATTGTTTATAACGACCAATGACATCACCCCACGTTTCGATAAATTTGCAAAATTTTTACTAAGGTTTCGTTCACTTTTATTGCTCTTGACGTCACAAGGTTACACAAACAAGTTACAATAATGTTCATAATTAAATATTTAATTGCGACTCACCCCATCACGCATCACCCCACACCACAATAAACGTGCTATTGTTCATCTACAAATCTACTTGGGCAAAATAAAAAAGCTGTACTGCAATAATGGTTAACTTAGGTGATGTCTTTCCGGATTTCGAGGCTGAAACGAACAAAGGTCCCATCAAATTTCACCAATTCTTAGGAGACAGGTTAGTGTCAAATGACCGAGTCATTTTCTTGCACAATCATAATCCACTTGATTTAGCATGCACTAACGACCATCAAGCTAACTCTACACAATTATTTGATGTAAATCATGTAATTCTTGTCTGAACATGGAAGTGATTGTAACATACATTGTTTATGCCAACCCTTGAGAATTACAAGGTAAATCCTTCCAGCAACTTTGAATTTTGAATCGTGAACTCTGTACTACAAATTTATAATAATCGTGGAAACTCCTTTTGATATGAGCACATATCAACGTTTCGTGAACATTTCTCCGAGTAAAGATATTCTCATACCTTGACAAGATGAGTGCTCTTGTCGTTAAATCACCACATAATTTGAGTCCTTGTAATAGATAGCATTCGTGACAAAACATTGAAAAAAACATCGTCTTATTTGACATATTTTTATTATACAAAATATAACTATTAAACCCAAGCATTGAAATGAATATGAAATAATGAAAGTACTGGTGTCTGTAAAACTTGACTAATTTTTCTTCCGTACCTTTATATTAGCCACAGACGCAAATATAGTTCTATAGCTGTATTTAGTTGTAAAAGACGGCTAATACTTACTAATAATTACAATTTTTGAATACACGCTTTTCATGATATGTAGCGACGGAAATCATGTTGAAGATAAGGACATTTCTAAAACAAGTTCTTAGCTACAGTAGGAACTTTCGCGAAAAAATTGCGCAAATGTCAAATTAATGAATACACTCTAGACAAATTGATGCCTGTAAATATAAATGAACATAAGTTAAATGAGTACATAGGTTTTAAATGATGCATATATATGTTCTTCATCACAAAGAGTAATCCTTTAGTGCCAAGTCTTTCGGAACTTTTCCATATCCAACATGAAGACAAGTCAACGCATAATGTTTTCCATCTCTATAGCTGAACAGAGTCAACGTGCCACGGGATCCTTCATTAGGCTCATCATCGCGCTTTGAGTGAACCATGTTGGATAGTGATCGAATTACTATTTCGTCTGATGGGTCGACAAAACGTAATTCAATGTATTCCGAGGTATTGCCATCAAATATCTTGTTGATTTCTGGTTTCAAATCAATCCCTCTCATTTTCTTGTCCACTTCGAGGTACAAATGAAGATAAGGCATCTCTTTGTTCGGATGGGCTATGCCATATTTGCCACAAAGCTAAGAAAAACTGTGAACGTGAAAACGTCATGGTGTTCGACAAAAAATCAGCATGATTGCGGCTTGTCAAACCAAATGAATCAAAATTATACTAAATATGATAAGAAATCATTACCTTTTCAATTCTTCATGCACCCAATCTTTAATTTTGCAACCTTTGGTTAAAAACGTATTTTTAAAATCACTCGTGTTGGGAATGAAAGCTTCATCTACAAAAAAAGAAAATTAATGCATTACATTACACGGTTAATACATCATAGCAAGATAAAAGGAATACTTGCTGAGTTATTTCAGTCTTCATTACATCTCACATAAGTGAGATAATAATGGTTACATCTCACATAATGGTTACATTGCATTCTTGTTTGTACTTAACATTTCAAAAGGCAATAAAGATTACGTTTGTGTAAATATTTGCATATAAAATTCCATTACTTACTAGGTCCTGATGTAGACGCAATACTCATCATGTTTGAGACACCACACATGTAGTTTTACAGTTTTAAATAAAATGAATTGTTTGGATTCTTTCAAATAATTTATGTCAATTAAGAAATAATTGTATTTTTCGTGTTTGTGTATAAAACAACATCATACTATACACAACGCCTGGCAATTCATGTTTGACAGTGGCTTACATGTGACTTTACGATTTATATGTGCTACATAAACAAATTTTACATCTACGGGCCTTATACATTGAGTTCTATAAGACCTGGAGGGGAAAAGGGGCCTGGGCCCCGTGGTCAAAAACATGGCGGTAATGGCGGATTTTGGTTGTCAAGACTTCCACTTTGAGAAAAATTTTTAACATTCGCTCCCTCCGGAACCCGGATTTTTTTTACTGCTTATATTAATGACAACCAGCGAAAACCACCACGATACCGTAAGCATAAATATTGAAAATAATGCTTCAGGTTTTTGTGAAATAGACCCAACAAATTAAATGAGGAAAATCTATCGTAAAATAACGTATATTTTGTCAAGTAATGCTTTAGCTATGTTAGAAATAAATATCAAACGGCATTCTTTAAACCAGGGGTCTCCAAACTACGGCCCGCGGGCCAGATGTGGCCCGTTGGGCCTCTCAATCTGGCCCGCAGAGACACTTAAGAAAGCCAATTTCACCACTCATATTGAGAAAACTGAACAGGCTAATTGTGATTTTGTTATGATATTACACTTGGTTGAAATTTAACATTTAAATTTTGAATAACTATTTTCTTAACTAATGAAGCTTGTGTTATGTACTTCGTTTTATTAAAATATTCGCTCTTTGACCAGCAGTATACGGTTCGTCGGCCCTCAACATGCTGGATGAAAGTTCATGAGGCCCTCTGGCTGTAAAATTTGGAGACCCCTGCTTTAAACTGTCAATGTGTTGTTAAGCTTTAATGCATAATCCCATGTGCAATACTTGTGTTTTGGACTGTTTGTGAACAGCTTGGTGCAACTGTCTTTCTTAAATAGATGGGTAAATCTTAGTTAAAATGTCCAAAAAGGAGTTAGAAAAAGTTAGCTTACCCCTACGACTTAAGTCGACTGGAAATATATTATAAGTAGGTATGTAATTTTTTTGAGTTTTTTTTTGGTAGGATTGATTCTGGGTGTCTTATAAAGTATTATGATATTCTGATAAATCTAATGACAACTTATGAAGAAATTATCTTGAACTAAGAAAGCAAAAGAACGAAATTCAGAAATTCTATAATCATGTTGCTGGTTCTGTTTTGAGCGAAGATATTAGAAACTGGATTGTCATTGAAAACCATGGATCTACTACTGAACACAACTACATTACTTTCCCATTGAAAATACGATTTCTTAAATTAAAGTGCATTGGTTTCTCTGACACAACACTTTTCTTATTGATAAAAGTTTTTGTGCTTGGCATTGATATTTTATATAATCGCAATTGTGGTTGTCAAATCCGTGTAGGCGAAAAAACTCTTATTTTATGAGCCCGCGTCTTTCCGCTGACTTTGACAACCAAAATCCGCCATGTTTTTGACCACGCGGCCGTGCGCTAATAATTTATAGTAATTTTGTTGAAGTTTCCCCTCCAGGTCTTATAGAACTCAATGGCCATATATCATTGGCGATTCTAAATTTAAGGGTGATTTCTAGCGTATCAGTAAAAAAGTTTTTGATTTGATCAAATTATTCCATTTTTATGGCGGTTTAAAGTTGTGAAAATGCCCTTTTTGATGGACGATGTTCGTCTTAAGAAAATTATGGGAATGCAATACACTTCCAATGACCAATTCAAAGGCATATGAATAAAATTGTTCATGTATCGTCTGTTTTGTCATATCAAATTAAGAAACGAATAAACACTAGGCTGAGGAAATAAGAAAGACTTATTCTAAACCATGAGCATTTCATACTTTTACTATGTCTCTAAAGTTAAACTACAGTATATTGTACATCCTATAATTCTTCTTAAGTCGATATTTATTGATAAAACTTACTTTTTAAATTTGTCTTTGCTGTAACACGTCTTCCTGCCAAATGATGTAACTTAGCGAGTGTCGAGAATCATGAACAAACGTTTGCAGGTAAATCCATGACGACTGTCGTCTACCAATGAAATTCCCTGAAATAGAAACGTTCAATAAATTGCCATGTTTATTTAGAAATTTCAATCATTTGTCTTTAAACTGAACACTAACACGAAGTTTTCTCTCTTTATAGGCCCGTTTATACGAGCAATTTTATCATGACAATTTTTATGCGGCAAATACATTTGACCGTGTAAACGACACAAAATATATGTAAATATACCTGTTCCCATGGCGATTGATGTATCGCGCCCATTGTAATAATGAGCAGTTACATGTCCATACTTCATTTTACGACGTACTTTTAATGCAATGTTTGTGCAAAAATGGCGCTGACCAAGGCCGAAAAACTTCAAGCAGTAGCTATTATTACATCTCTAATGGTGCACGAAGTGAAAAAAAAACGAAAGTCACGACGATGGTGGGTAAAACCGTGGAAAACTGCGCAGCGCCGATACGCACAAGGGTTAGCACAAAATTTAATTCAAGAGATCCGAGTGACTGACCCAGACTGGAAAGTATGTCTTGCGCAACCTAGATCTAGCTTGCGCAATTTCGGGAGAAATGCGCATCCTGACGCGCAGATTTTAAAAAATTTCTTGTTCGCCGCGCATTTGTGAAATTTGCCGCGCAGCGCGAGAAATTATTGCGCAATATCAGCACATGTGCGCTGCAGCGCTGTTGTTTCCGTTGAAAAAAATTGTTGCCTGTTGAATGTCAATCTTACAAGCTGTTTTGACAGGCAAGTTCCGTTAATTGGTTGGTAAGCCAATAAGCGTTTGATGACTAGAAATATGATATCTGAGCAGATTAACTACACATTCTTTGCTTTCGTTTTCGAGCTTTCTCTTTTTAAGTGACTTCAAGGCAAACCATATCGATTCTTCGGTGTATTCTACGGTGATACGTGATATTTAATTAAACCAACTTGGGGTGTTCAAATTTGTAAGGTGAGTACACGTAATGGTTTAGTAAAATCAAAAGTACTGATACAAAATTACAAATGATAAAAATTCTGAAAGCATTAACGCTTCTAACACTAAACGCCCGGGAAACAAGTTATTATTTAACAGTTATGTTTTTTGTGTAACCTAAAAGTAGTGGTACGAAAGGATTTCTTGTATTACAAACTACAAAGCATGTTTTAATACATTTAAGGCAAATAAAATTCACAATCCTTACATAAAACATATTGATAAATGAAGCAATTTATAATTAAAACCGGTTTGCTAACGAACTAACAGGGCTTAGCTCGCTATTGTTTGGTGATAAAGCGAGATTTTTTGACAAACTTTTTATCTAATTGTTTATTTATTTTTACTAGATGGCTGAGATTCAAGCAGTTAAATCAGGTAAATTCACGCGTTACAATAGCCGAAAATTTTCCTAACAACAATATACACAATATATATCAGCCATTGGTTGATTGCAGGAGCTGATTCGGTGATTCCTCGACAATATTCACTTCTCACTAAGAGTACCAAACCAACATTTGTGTGTTGCTAAAACTAGTGCTGCTTGCCTTTGATACCAAAAACGTTCATTACATTATCTTAACTTATGTTTTCATTGTTGTTGCCTAATTACTAGTTTGCGTTTCATGCAAGAAGGAATGTGGAAGCCATTTTGCAAAGTTTGCAAAAACGTGCCAATTCCGCCTTGCTCAACATCAGCAGGTGATGATGAAGGTTTTGGTGCCCAGGTCTTGTGTAGTGGCTGTGCAAAACTGAGACAGCAGCAGTGGCTAAAATAAGCAGCAAACACTGTCTAAGGAAGGTAACAGAACAATTATCTAGTGTTAGAATGTTAGTCGTGTGTAAGAGTGATCGTGTTTGCGTCACAAAGAAAAGTGGCATGACATTGTCAGTGGGTTTTATAAAGCAATAGTAAACAACCAAGATTGGCTATCGACACATTTGTAACCATAAAAATTGTGTGTTATAGAGTTTCAGTTTGCCAACATGTTTAAAAGACATAGCAAGCAGTAGAAAACAGGACCAGAAGCAAAGCGAGCAAAGAGTGGACACGAGAAAACCCCAATGGGCTTTTGCTTACTTTGTTTTATGCAAGGCAAACGCAAATTTTGGCTTGCTAGAGGGAACAAGTCCTCTCTAGCAAACCATTTAAAAACTCACAGCGACAAGGGCGAAAAGACCTTAGCAAATGACGCTATTAGAGAAGATTTCCCTCTTGCTAAATCTGCGCTACAGGCGTACAAAATGCTTAAATCGGCTAGGTAAATGAAAATCAAGTTCCCAATTCCCAAATTGAGAACTGCACTTACATTGTGTATGTTTTCTATGTTAATTGTATTTTCAGTACAAGCCAAGTGCAACAATAGTGTGGTGGCGACGGAACGGGAGAACGGATAGAAATTATGGAAGTCGATGAAAGGTAGCTAAATTGCTCATTCCCCTGCGTGAACCATAAAATAACCCAATATCACTAACTGCATACATGTTATATAATACATTTCTTTTACATATACAGTGATAGCTTTTTAAAATTATGAATATTAAATTGTTTCAGAGAGCTTGGTAAGGATACGGCTGGACATGCAACTGACGAGCTTTCGTGCAAAATCGTTTCTGGTGTCAGTGAATCTGAAAGTTGGGAGGAAACCGATGAAAAAGATGAGAGGTTTGTTAGTGAAATACGGCATTTTTCTTGCATTATAGTATCAGATTTTACGACATTTTGTCACGATATTTTGTGAAATTTATGCCATAGTGGTTGAAAGTGTTGACTTTTTAGTTCAAGGTTTCCAATAATTCACTTGTTCGGATAAGTAATTTCTACATTACAAATTTCTTAAGTCGTTTAATATTAACGATGAAATCATTAAGTATTTCAACGTCTTCTGTTGAATTTCTTAGTACATATACTTTTCACACAGTTTGCAAGAAAATTTTAATGTTGGCTTTTTAACACTTTCATTGTTACAACGAAGAGATTGTGAGAGTTAATGTAGTAAGTAAGACGAGTAAGGCTGCCTCTATTTCAAACACCAGCCGTCTTAGCTATCAAAGCTCGCTTGGAAGTTTTCTTCCTTCAATTTTATCAAGTGAGAAAGGCGACCTGCCATTTGATGTGGACGAACTTGCGGAAAAAATTGCTACTAAGGTGGCACAAAAGTTGAGTGGTAACCCTAAATCAGCCCAATCAACAAGTTCAACAACTACATACAATCCCACATCGAGTACCGCACTTCGATCTTCCAATTTGTTTGAGCTTGTGGATGAAGTGGAAGATTTTGAAATACTAACAGCTTGGTGCTGCAGTGTCGAACGTGTGTCGAATTTTTAAACGCTTCCCGTGTTTCCTTTTCGTCATCTTTTAATCGACCTACTGGCAAAGCAGACGGATCTTTGGCATCTGGTTTACATATGTCAGATGCCTTGTATGAACAGCTAATTGCAGGCAAGTGTGAAAAATGGTACAGCCAAAAGCAAGCGTGTCATCGACATCTTCTTTCTTTGACCCACAAAACGCTGATGACCACATGAAGATGGTAAAGCAAGGGAGGTCAAGGGAAGTACTTGTTGCAAAGAATCAACTCCGTGCAGCTCTTGGTGTTGTGAAAACAAAGTCAGCTGCAGTTCATTATGAAGCACGAATTGCTGAGCTTCAAGCTGCTGGTGCGGATGTTGGTGATTTTTGTCATTCTCGAAAATTGTTTCCAGACATGATCAAAGCAGCATGTGCTTACATCGACATGAGAGCAGCCAATTTTCTTTCTACCCCTCTTCCAAACACAGGAATGCCCCCACATTTTTATGTTACAGCTGATAAATCTACCAATCATCGCATCACTAATCAGGTTACTATCGTTTGTCCAGTTGTAAATGGTAGTCGCCGCCGAGGCATTGTCCTTGACGCAAGGGAGGTTTACAGTAACTCTGATGCAACTGGTGGTACAGGTGATGCTCTAGCTGCATCCATTTTTAAGGTGGCTCGACAGGAAAAAAATCAAGAAAAATTCAATTTTTCAAAAGTATCATTTTTAGATAGTTTTACTAATAATCTTTCATATACAATAGAGTTTTATAATACTAGGCTTTTATTTTACGTGATTTTAGAGGTTTTCTAAGATGCACCATAAATTTTTTATTGGTAACCATGGAAACTACATCAATTTTTTTTCAAAATAACCATGTTATACAGTTTTGCATGGTGATTTTCATTTTGTTTCGTAAAAGTAGAGTCCTTACAAAGAGGACTGGTAAGTAGCCCACTTACATCGCCTGGTTACCAAGTCAAAATCTTCATGCATTCATGCTTGTAAAGAAAGTCAGTGAAATGCTTTGTTGTAATCGCGTCAAAATCTGGTCAAAATGCCTAATAATAAGAAGTTTGTTTGATCGAAGGGTAAAAAACGAACGTTTCATGAGAATTGTTATGTTAAAGTCAACAAATTAGTTGATTCTCAGTCTTCTGAATCTGAGAAAGTAGATGAAACAAGTACGAGGGTTTATCTGATGGATTTCGCCTGGTAGATATATCTATTCTGATGTCGATTTTTAGCACATTTCTGTGCCCAAAATGTAAGCCTGGTCACGTCGTAATGGAAGAAGCACATCGGCAAAAATGGGACTTGTTTCTCAACTGTCATTCAAATGTTCGGCTCGAATGTGCACATATTCCAAAGTTTTTGATAACTTACAAGTGTATTATGGTAAGGCAATAAGAAACAATTCCCACAACATGGAAAGGATGAAGAATGCTATATGGGCAATATGGCACCACACTAAGTCAACAGATGCTAACCCAGACCACGACCTTTGCCCTAAAGGAGAAAGCAGTTGGTGTGGGTACCAGAGAGACCTTGTAAAGAATACCCAAGAGTATTCTCAGTCATCCACTGCCAGAAGCTGTTTCACAGTGTATATTGCCATTTTTCACAGATCTGAGCAAAAGTCATCTGCTGTCTTCCTGTCTCCATGGTGGTACACAAAACCAAAATGAGGCATTCAATGCCTTGATTTGGCAGCGTGCCACCAAGGAGACACATTCAAGCCTGCCAGCTGTGGAACTGGCAACCTTTCTGGCTGTGGGTGTTTTTAATGATGGCTCTAAAGCAGTATTAGATGTGTTGCAAAACATGGGTATCACTCCTGGCTATAATACTAAGGCTGGAATGAAGAAAATGGACTATGACCGTCTTCGTCATTCAACCAGAAACAGCTCAGAGAAGCAGAAAAGTAGGAGAAAGAGAACAGGACAAAGAAAAAAGGATATTTTGACAAACTTACAGAAAAAGAAGGCACCCACTATGAAGCTGGAGCATTTTAAGATCTAAACTGAAACTGCTTTGGTGATCTTAAACTTTGCAGCATATTTTCTCGGTAAGTTAAGAAATGTGATAGTCTTTTTATTCATGCACTCTTCAAAATTAAGCTAGTCAATGGATTGTACAATCAATTCAAATTTTACGTTCTTTTTGTAATAATGAAATTTTCTTATTTTCTTTACTTTTATTTACAAATTATAATCTTTACTACTTTTAAGGATGGGTTCCATTTTGTTTGATGAGCTATGTGAAAAGTTAACACCATTCATAGCAAAGAAAAACACCACTATGAGAGATGCTATATCTGTTCATGATCGCTTGTGTGTAACATTAAAGTTCTTAGCATCAGGATGCTCATACAAAGATTTGATGTACAGTTTCAGAATATCAGTTTCATCTATTTCAAAAATTGTACCTGAGGTCTGTGAAGCTTTGTATAATGTGCTGAAGGAAGCATATTTAAAGCCACCCACAACAAAACAACAATGGTTACACATTGCTGATGAATTTATATGCAAATGGCACTTTCCCCATGCAATTGGCAACATTGATGGTAAACATATCAACTTTTGTGCACCTCCAAACTCAGCGTCTGAGTACTTTAACTATAAAAAACATTTTAGCATAGTCCTCTTGGCTATTGCAGATGCAAAAGCTAAATTCATCTCATTTGATCTTGGAGCCCCTGGCAACCAGTCAGATGGAGGAATTTTTAAAGACAGTCACCTTAAAAACATATGCAAGACATGCTATTTCCCACAAGCTGAAGAACTAAGAGATACATTATTGCCTATACCTTACTTTCTGCTTGGAGATGAGGCATTTGCTTTGAATGAAAATCTAATGCAACCATATCCACACCAGACTGCAATAGGTGATGAGAAAGTTTTTAACTATAGACTTTCACGAGCACGAAGAATTGTCGAAAATGCATTTGGATTGATGTGTAGTCGATTCAGATGTCTTTTGAGAACATTGGAGTTGGATGTTTCACATGCAATGCAGGTGGTGAGGGCCTGTATGGCACTGCATATCCAAATCTAAATTGAGAGTCATTTGATTATTTACAGCAAGCTCCTGAATATCTTCCTCCCTACCAATGACGATGTACATAATATCGACTTCTTTATTAGACACCACTCTCGTTTGATCCGGAACACGGACAATCGGTTGTCCGTTGTAAAAGTATTTCATGCTTTCTTCGTTAACTGGAGCATTTAGAGATTCTTGGATTTCCATAAATTGGACTCCGCCACAAAAGTCTTGTTGACAGTCATCCAAATTATTGACAACACCCGCATGAGCACAGTTCAAGGCATAGTACATATTATTCTTAAGGCAGAACATTGTCAATGTTCCAAAACTACCCTGGGTTCTTTCCGCTATAATTTTAGACAGCATTCAAAACTTTGCTTCTTTCAATGGTTTAGATGGTAATTCGATGTATTTCGATGCTTTCCATTTTAACTTTTCATCGATCTCATTTTTGATAGCGTCCTCCGAATTTTCTTTCTCAAAATCAACTGTGACATACAAATGAGGAAACGACATCTTCTCGTTTGGGCGAGCTATTCCATACTTCCCACTAAGCCACGAACAACTTAAACAAGTAACGACAACTATGTATTGTCTAAAAACTGTTTTTCGTAATGTTCCGACATGCACAGGTCAACATACATAATCGATATCCCATGAAAGAAAAATTACCTTTGGAGAGCCTTGTGAACGTCAGCTTTAATATTCTTACTTTTGTCTAGAAGTTTATGGAAGTTGTCGTCATGATTTGCTTCTAAATATCATAAAAATATAATTGATAACTTTAGTCACCAATATTAACTACGATGAAACTTCCATACGATAAGACATAAATAAGACTAAAAATTGACTAACCATATACATGGGATTATAAATTACTTTGCTCTGGATTCTGTGTCGAATACCTGTTTTGCAATATCATCTATTTAAAAAGATCACAGCAGGAAGTACACTGATAAAAAGATTTTTTGAGTATTATCTCAGCGCGCTGCGTAGTGTGAATAAATATATGGAAAATTTACAAGTATTATTGTCGAAATAGAAAAAACTAGAATCCCGATGCAAAAAAGCTTAACATGAGATGTTTTCAAACTTTGTTTAGAACGCAGGAACATAAAACAGACAAGAAAATTTTCTCATACATTTTAACAGTAAGAATCATTAGTTCGTTATAAGTTATAACATACTTTCAACATATTGAAGACGCTGTATTTTTTAGTTACTTAAACTGCATGTAGCTAGAATGCTCAGTTCCTAATTTTAAGAACGAATAAGTGCTTTCAAATATTATGCTATTTCAATAATTTCACTGTTGTTAGCAGAGCAAGGAAGGTGTGTTATGTATTGCAGCAATTCTGACTAACTTTGTAAACTTTTCTATCAATTTTACTATTTGTTATTTATTTTATGAAAGCTTAATTATCAAATGGTACATTAGGTTAACCAAAAACTCCAACTCTTGCTGCAATAAAAAAACGTTTACAAATAATTGCTGCAAGCAAAGCAGAAAGCTTCTATATTCTGATGTGTGTACGATATCAAGATTTTTATGGTATGTACAACCAGCAAAATATGAAGAACGTGGTGTTAAATTTTGCACCATGCATCAAGGTGTTGAAATGTACAGAAGATATGTACAGGCACTTTGTTTTCTATTAGACATTTTTAGTTGATAAAAAAGAAATGTTGAACAGTATTGTAACAAATCAAACGAAATAGACTAACCAACGGTAAGACAAATGAAAAACCTCTTCAGACTATACACTTCATAGATCAAATTCAAGCATATCTAATAATTTTTTTTAACAATGGTATTTAGAAAAAGAAAAAATACATGCTAAGTACTTTAAACGTAGCAGCTGATTAGTATCTGTTTTTTATATGAAATGAATAGTGACATAGGATCTTTTACAGTTACTTGCTTAAAAACCACTGTAAAATATTTTATAAAAATTAATAGCACAGACAAAACGTAGTATTTTTTTAGTGATTACTTTACACTTACAAGCGTTAGTCGGTGGTCTACTGATTTCAAATGGCAGTACTAACCAGCAAAAGTTGTACTAAGTACTAAAATGCCAATAAGAAGCAGGCACCGGAATATTATTCGATAGAAGCGCAGTCTATTTCAGGTATTTATATGGGGTGTCCTGCTCATTTCAAAAGGCAGGAGTGAACACGACTAGCGCGCGATAACAGTAATAGTTCCAGAAACGCGAGTCAAGTGAGAGAAGAAGTCATTAAAAACATTTGGTTGCTAAGAGACTCACAATTTTTGAAATTGTCTTTTAAAACTGCTGAAAATGAATGAATAGTATAGTGTTGTACATTGAAATGGGGAGAATGGATAATACCAGTGTTAGCTTTTAACTTTGTTAGTTGGTTGGCGGTAAACATTGCTTGTGACACAAACCACAAAAATACAAATTTAGAACTCTTACAATGGTATAGAATATAAAATGCACTTTTTGATGTCAACTACGACTCTTATATGATTATTATAGCGATAAAACATTAATTTTAGAGAAAAGTATGAGTATATACGATATATAGCAACAATTAAAACACAACTGATCAAAGTTACACAATTGTGGCATAGCAACTTGCTAAAAAATAAGACGCTTTCTTCACGTTTCAAAAACTTTACAGTTTTTTTGGTATTTCATGTGCTTTGTCACTACAGTGTAGACACTCACGTATGTTCTGTTTTGTCACTACAGTGTAGACACTCACGTATGTTCTGTTTTGTCACTACAGTGTAGACACTCACGTATGTTCTGTTTTGTCACTACAGTGTAGACACTCACGTTTGTTCTGTTTTGTCACTACAGTGTAGACACTCACGTATGTTCTGTTTTGTCACTACAGTGTAGACACTCACGTATGTTCTGTTTTATCACTACAGTGTAGACACTCACGTATGTTCTGTTTTCTCATATCAAACTAACAAACTAATATAAATGATATCAAATCGCGAGTATTTTATGTTCCCACAGGCTAACTACAATTTTATTGTGTCACTGATGTATTTTGAATTTTCCTAGAAATGTTCAAAACTACAATTAATGTTGCGATTTAACTGGAAAACTTACTTTTTAATGCGACTTTTCTCTAAAACTCTCTTTCTCTCAAACGAGATAAAATCTCTATTGGCAGGACCTATGAGCCAATGTTTGCAGGTAAATCCATAATGACCGTCAAGACTACCAATCAAATTCCCTAAAATTAAAAATTCAATAAAACATTGTAAAAGTCATACGATATTCAAAACTGCCGTGCAGCTGCCTCGTATGATCGTTCAGCATTTTTTGTGGATGAAACAACAAGTTGATAAACTGAATGATCGGTTTCCGCAGACAGAAATTCATTTTCAGGAAGAACATAATTAGAAATGTTGACAACAGATAAAATTCGATCGAAAAATCTCTTACAAACTTAGAAACAATACCCAATTGCGACTTGGGAACGCTATGTATCATAAACGATAATCAAAACTTTACATACGTTTACGAAATCCATACGCTCTAAGTACCCAAGTAACACCTGAAAAACAGAAAGAATTGAAGCCACGTTGTATATTGGAATGCCAATTTCTTGTTCGGACCAGCAACTCCATATGCTTCAAGCAGCCATGTAACACTAGAAAAATAACAAGAATCAAAGCAATATTGAATAACAAACTGGTAACTGGTTGGTAACTAGTCGCGAATTGGTAACCATGCGTAAATGTTGTGTTGTGCTTCATTCAACAAAATTTTATGTTCTTATCTTATACCGTCCAGCTGTTGTGTCTTGACTCCTTTCATAGCTTGTAGTTCTAAATTACATCAGAAACCATATAACATTAGTTGGACTCAAGTCATCTGTTCAAGATTAAAATGAACACCAATTTGTACAACAAACCGTGCAAAGTGTACCCCAACATACACATCAAACCATGCAAAGTGTACCCCTACATACACAACAAACCATGCAAAGTGTACCCGACATACACAACAAACCATGCAAAGTGTGCCTACATACACAACAAACCATGCAAGTGTTACATACACAACAAACCATGCAAAGTGTACCCTACATGCACAACAAACCATGCAAAGTGTACCCTACATGCACAAAACCATGCAAGTGTGCCCTACATACACAACAAACCATGCAAAGTGTGCCCTACATACAACAAACCATGCAGGGGTGTTCCCTACATAATAACAAACCATACCAGTGGCCCTACATACACAACAAACCATGCAAAGTGTACCTTACATACACAACAAACCATAAAGTGTGCCCTACATACACAACAAACCATGCAAAGTGTACCCTACATACACAAACCATGCAAAGTGTGCCCTACATGCACAACAAACCATGCAAAGTGTGCCTACATACACAACAAACCATGCAAAGTGTACCCTACATACACAACAAACCATGCAAAGTGTACCCTACATACACAACAAACCATGCAAAGTGTACCCTACATACACATCAAACCATGCAAAGTGTACCCTTATATGTACAACAAACCATGAAAAGTGTACCCTACATACACATCAAACCATGCAAAGTGTACCCTTATGTGTACAACAAACCATGCAAAGTGTACCCCTACATACACAACAAACCATGCAAACTGTCCCTACCTCTCCATGTACATCCAGTCTACCGACTTTCAATCCCAAAGCGGCAAATGAATATATTTTGAAATTTAACTAAAGAAAAGAACGCTACCGATGAAAGAGGGCGAAAGGGAGACAGGTTTCTACAAATTTATGATGGTACTGTTGCAGGCTGTTGCATGTTTATGATTTAGGAGTATTGATAAATAAATCATAGCTGAGGGAAGTTATGTTAACTTTGTATCATAGAGAACGTTTGGTTTGGGAATTATTTTAGTATACCATCCAATTATAACTGGTTTTATATACGTTACTCAGTAAAAAACCACTTACGAATTCAGTTGGTGTTTCTTACGAAGGTGGAACATCGCTTTCTAAAGATATCTGACATACAAACATTGGAAATTAGACAAAAAGAAAGAAATCAAAAGATTATGGAGATATGCATTAATTCTTTTCACAAAAAAACCAAGAAAATAAACAAAGTTAAATGAAGATATGATCTTCGCACTTTGCTGGACAATTTAAGCAATTGTCTCATGAACCTGAAAAATTCAGGTGAGTCAACGGGATTCGAACCCATGACCTCTGTTTGTGCCACACGTGCCGGTGCAGTGCATATCTTCATTTAATTTCAAACACCGCACTGCATATAACATTCTTTCATAAAATAAACAAAGATTATGATAAGAAGCAGTAAACTACAGAAAACGAACATACAGCAAGAATTTGACAACAAGTAACATAAGACGAAATAAAACCAGAGAAGTTTCATAAAAATATCAGAGCGATTCTCACATCACCACGTTGTTTAACTATGGTAGGAAATCAGATCTTTAAAGGTGAATACCAAAGTGGAAGGGGGTAGTATCAATTACTAGAAAAGAGAATACAATTTAAGAATATAAGTGCAGGGATAGCGGCCTGTGAAGATCGACCTTACTTTCTGACCAAGGAATGGTTACTGGCAAGATCGACCTTACTTTACTTTGTGAGCAAAAAATGTTATGAAGGGAGATCTTGCTTTGCATACAAAAAAATTGAATTTAATTAATTTATTTCAAACAAAAAAATATTTTAAAATAATTTCAACAGTTGATAAGCCTCTTGAAACAAGACACGAGGCTTTGCAAACAATGGTAGCATATTTACTCTACACATAAAAAAACAAAAAATACCATCAAAATAGACAATTTTATCATGAAAATATAACTGCTAAAACACACATCCGGTTGCCACGTTATATGATATTAAACGAAAACGACCATCCGGGCGGACGAATGACAAAATTCGTTCAGACTAAAATACACAGACATTGAAGCAGTCACGTTCAAACGCAGTTTTAGTGCATGATTGAAAGAAAGTGTTCAATGTAAAAAGACAATTGTTATTAGTCATATTAAGAATAATTAGTGTTGACTTGGATTAGAGACAATCCATATTCAACATTCACACTTACGTACCTCCCATCTTCTGAAGCGAAGACAAGGATAAAAACTGACATCTTAAAGATACGAGGATTTGTAAAACACATGTTGAGATCTATAATTAATAGAAATCTTTAACCTACAGATAAATTCAATTTTAATCTAGAGATATAACAAAGTATCATAAATATACCAGGCATGCCAGATAATTTACAGTTGCAGTCAATCTGAAAGAACAAAGTTGAAAAAAGGTGAAAAAATCTTTAAAATGTTGTACTAGAGAGTACATATAACAAAGTATAAAAAAAGGAAGGCACTTACAGTTCCTTGTATTTCTGAAAATATGGTGGAGCCCTACACAAAACAGAAAATTTTAGGAATTTAAACATGCCATAAGTTTTCAGTTCGTACATGTCCTTAGTTTTAATTTAACATCAAACAAAAACAACAAACATATTTTTGTCATACATCTTCCACAAAGGGAACAAGAAATCCATAGTATTATAATGTTGTTACCTGTTTATCAATGATGGCATCAATGCTTTCAGCTACATCAAAACAAATCTAAAACATAAATAGAATTAATTAGAAATACTTAGGACTAATTTGTGATAATTAGAATTAATTGGAACTAATTATAATAATTAGAACTAACAACTAATTAGCAATATTTATTACAACTAATTAACAAAAGAAAAAAGTTCACTTATCACATAGGATTTTCTTTCAAATTTCTTAATGGAACAATGTGAATATAGCTACGTACCTCATTATTTGCATATTTTACACCAGTTCTCCTCCATGGAACATTGGACAATTGACCAGTTGGGAGATGACTGCTCATACTAGGAAAATATGAAATATTTAACTTAAATTATATGTAGAATGATCAAAAATGTGTAAACTAAAACAAATTTAACTAAATATTGTAGTAAGTTGAATATAATAACAACGCAAATATAGAAATGTTTAGTGGTTTCACGGATTTGCTTTACATTTACATCTGATCCTTATATGAACAACATAAAGATCACTACATAAAAACATGGCTCATATGTTTATTATAAGGAAGGTTCTTACTTGCTATCTCCAGTCACTTTATTAACAACATTTCTAACTATACTAGGAGGTCTTATCAACTCTTTAAGAACATTTGACTCTGTAGCTAAAGGGAATCCATTATCCAAAATCTCTTCCAATAACTGAAGAATATAAAGATATAAAGATATAATATCATACTTCATATCACACAAAACAGAAAATAATTGACATTCATCAATGAAACAGCTGGATTCTCTACAAAATATACAAATATGTCTTGTTTAAACAAACCTCATATACAATGACACAATTTTCTTTAATGATTGTTTCAGTACAGTCAGAGAAATATTCTTTGATCAAGTCAACCACTCGATGAAGAAATTCAATCACAAACAAAGGTGGAACTGGAAAGGAATGTTTTCACTTTATCAATAATAATAATCATGACAGACCGCTAAATTATTTTTGTCAACCATTCAGAATGCCTAATGTATACCTTTTGTAGAATGATAACACTTCCTTTCAATGTATATATGTCAGTATGCAGTACACTTGCAATCAATACTGACAATCAATCTCTTTCAATTGTCATTGAAATAATCTTTAAAACAATATTCATCAAACATGATGTAATATAAACACAAACCTTTACATATTTCAACAACAGAAACAAAGAAGAGATCATGGCGAAATATACTGATAAGATAACTAAATCCTGTTGAAATTACAGGAGGAATGTCTTCAGGAGATTCGGCCTAAAAAATACAATTAAAAAGTTGATATATGATTTGGTTAGATGCATTTTTGTCACAGAAATACAACATGAAAACTTTTTGTTAGAGTAGCTTTAAATTTCTCAATCACCAACAATTTACACACAAATTCATTCACCTTTCCTTGAGCTTCGAAAAAATAATCACAAACAGAGCGTCCTAAATTACTTGTCCAATGTTTTTCCAGAAATATATCCCTAAATTTACAAGAAAGAAATAATACGCCCACTGTCTCCATCTTTAGTGTACAGTAATGTTGTGATAGCAAGTAAATAATTGTGGAAACTGAAATCATTGCCATGCACTTGGATACATCTGCCTGACGCCAAAAACTGTAAAAATACTGCTACCAACTATTGCTTTATGATTTTCTTGTCATTTTGTAACTTTATTAACCATGTCACGTGACGGTAGATGACTCTCAATCCCATCCTTTAATATGTTTAATTTAAAATGTCTTACTACATTTTCGCTATTTCATATCTCACTCATATAAGCATAAATAACTTGTCACGTCAATAACAAGCTTTATGAGCAAAACCAACTAAAGAATAAATTACAAAAACCAATTCAGTACTCACCCTAAATGGTTGATGATAAACAAATTTAGGTTAGCACTATTTTCCACCCAGCAAACCGCCCTTTACTTTGCACAATCGGAAATAAATTTAAGATGGCGGCTAATGGGAAAGAACCAAAAGCTAAAAGGAAACCATGCATGCACTGGTGCTAGGTCGTTTTGAGATGGCGAGTAATTTTATATTTTTATAATACAGTTTTTAATATCAACATATGAAAATATTTACAGATAAATGTTACAGTTTAAATTTTCATGCAACCACCTTAAGTTATAAACTTATAATCCAGGCTGGAAAATATGTCGTTTTTCGACGATTGTGTAAAATATTATATAAAATATTATATTGTGTAAAATATTAGATTGTGTAAAATATTATATTGTGTAAAATATTATATTTCAAAGTAAAGGGCGGTTTGCTGGGTGGAAAATAGTGCTAACCATAAAATTACTCGCCATCTCAAAACGACCTAGCACCAGTGCATGCATGGTTTCCTTTTAGCTTTTGGTTCTTTCCCATTAGCCGCCATCTTTAATTTATTAACGATTGTGTAAAGTAAAGGGCGGTTTGCTGGGTGGAAAATAGTGCTAACCGACCATGATCTAGTGCCGACCCAAATTTACAATTGTATTTCTATTCAACGGTGTTTCCATTTAACAATAGTAAGTATTCCTCTTCCTAAACCTAAAGAGTAGTCGATGTCGTAGTCCGTACTCTTGCTAAAGCTCCCTAATGTCTCGATTCGGCGAGTCCATATCAACATAAGGAAAACTCGGTAAAATTTTGTATATTTGTGTATATTATATTCCGCAAAAGTGAATTGTCTGCTGAGTGCTGACAATACCATTCAGTGTATTGTAAGATTGTAAGATATTGTCAGCACACGCGAAACAAAGATACACCAAGGATACTGTCCGTGTGTTTCAGGCTAGGAATCACGAAGAAGTATTTTTACTGCAATATCTGACAATGGTTACAGCTAGAAAGAGTTAAACGATTATATATCAAGCAAATCATATTTTTCTTATTTAGCAACCATACTTCTTTGAGCCGCAAGGGAATATATAAATTATAAAAATAGCACATTTGCTTCCTTTTAACGATTATTTTTTATTAGAATAATTATGTTAACCTATGTCATGATAAAAAGTTAATATTTGAAACATACATCCAAAAACTTTTTCTAAAAAACTAACAATAGCTTTAAAAAATGCTTACATCTTGACAGCACATATGAACCAATCAAAAAATATTTATATTAGGACAAAATTACGTATCCATATGCTTCAAATTTATGTTTTGTCACTTTTGTGTAGATCTCTACTTTACCCTCAACAGATCAACTTTATTATAACTTGCAGCTACATTATCTAGAAATGTTGCAGTTGCTGTATTGAATGGAGCCTGCCAGCTAATATCAAGTAGCTTATGGTTTATTTAACAACAACTGTCGTTTTTATCGACTTCTCTTGTTGGTGATTTTCCCGATGGTAGTACAAAATTCCTCTTGTTTTAACATTTTCAATCAAGTCACATTCCGGCAAAGCACATTAAAGTTATTTTTTGTAGAACATATAAGGTCCAAGATCATAATGCTCTGCATTGTGTCCAATTTTGTCACAACATTTATCTCTTTGTTTTTTTGTGCAAATTTCACAAATAGTTTGTCTCACAGGGTCACCCTTCCATGAATGCGCAAATGGACAATCCGAGGGGAAGTCTTTTGCGTTGTGTTGAGTGTGACGATTACATTCAGCAGATTTTCTAGCTCCTGGAACAACAGCTCCATGTTTTATTCTTCCATTTTTCAATATTTTGATTGGAGGAAAAGCCAGCTGATTTCCTTCTGAAGTACGGTATGTTTTGATATATTGTGAATTTTTTTTAACATCTGCTAATCGATCATCGAATGGATTAATATTTGATGAAAAACTGAATTCTGGAACTAAATCATCTTTATCTTCTGGAACTAGAAAAGAAGGCATATCCAAGGCAACATTAGTTTCTTTAATTTTTTGTCGTGTTGGGGAGTGTTTTGACCATGCATTCCCGAAGGCCATGTCGGCTTTCAGTAAACTATTTTGCTTCTGTTCAAATTGCTTTTGCAATTCCATATATGTATCTTTCCCAATTGGGTCATAGGCATAAGGTCCAGTAATGGTAAATCCCAAACAAAACCACAAATCATCCCAGCTGATGTGTGGATATTTCCCATTGTCAAAAGGAATCTCGATGCCTCGATAAGTTAAAATTCCCTGTTTGATTTTCTTTCCTACTAATCGTTCTAGCTTATCATACACAGTTTTGCTGCGCCAAAATTTTGTTTTAATCTGAATGTCTCGGTTGTCTGCATTTGGTTCATGGTTATGATTGACAACGTTCACCAGGGGAATAATTGATCTCGCTCCGATACCTTTCCCCAACAGATATTCTGCCCCAGATCTTTGCGATGCTGTATTTCTTAACGTGATTTTCATTCGACATTCAGCTATAGACTTCTTCACAACGTCAAAATCGGTTTTCAGCGAATTGTTTGGAATAGGAAAATGGATCATATAATTGAAGACATGTGCCCAAGATGACTTAGGGAATCTCTTGCACCATGATTGCACAATATTTGACAATGTGTCAATGTCAATGTCTTGTTGAATCGCTGCTTTGACATACGTGAGCATTGCATTATCAGAGTGAGTTTTTTGTGGGACTGCGTCTTTAAGGAGGGTATAAATTTTTTCAACATGCTGCGGAGTTAATCTTGCCCATGAGCTGAACGGATTTTCGTAATGTTGGTACAAAATGTCATTAACAATATCCTCTGTCAAAACCAACCCCTTTTCAATCCTTGTTCGATCAAGGTTTGTCACTTTGTAAAACTTTGTCCTCAACTTCATTAGTCGGATTTGGGCATTTTCTAATTCCTTCAGTTCATGCTTTTTGAATGAGAGCTTACGCCGAACCTTTATTTCTCCAAAAAAGTCGTTGAAATTTTGAACAGCACTCTTTGTAAGAAAAATAAAGTAATCAAGGTTTTTTTTGTGTATTACGTCAGTAAGCTGTTGGGGATGCTGATGAAATGTCAGGTACTCTCGAAAACTTTCATCGGGACCAGCACAATGATGCACAAAATAAGGCAAACTCTTGAACATCTCTACAACAACGACTATTGTGTGAACTTTTCCTATCATGGCATGTAAATAGCTGTCGCGACAATTTGTTTGTAATGTACCGTCAAATAAATCAATTCCTTTTCTTGTTGTATTAATTGCATCCTCGATCAGGGATTTTACGTTTTCAATTTCTAACGATTTCCTTTCGACTTTTTCGAGAAGATATTTAAGTTGGCTTCTGTAAAATGTTGCTTTCGTTACAAAATGATGGAGATGTGACGGTTGCAGTTTTATTGATTCATCGATTACTCTGTGAGCAATATCAAACCCATTTCCTACGATTCCATACGATTCAATCATCTCATTCAAACGTTTTTTAATGGGAAAAAGCTCTTCAGCATTTTGATTCATTCCAATTTCGTAGGCAAACATTCTGGCAACCTGTTGAAGAGTGTGTGCTTTATGCTGAGTGGTTTCAACTTTTTCATTTAACGTGATCAAAAGATCTAGTGCATTCCGTATGTTCTTTACCTCTTTGCTTGATAGCACGTCCAATATTAGTTGCGAGTATTTTTTCCTTTGTTGTAATATGCCGACTAGCTCATCTTCACTGTTATCACTGTCATTATCACCAAATTGGTCTTCAGCAATTTTCTCGCGCTGTAGAAAAACAGTTACGATTTCTTCCGTCAAAAATTTTGTTACATATGTGCTTTTATTCTTTATTTGTTCGATTAACTTTTTGGCAGTGTCAACCAGATCAATTTTTTTACGGACAACCTCTCCTACTAGTGAATGGGCTGGTCGCCATCCACCGTATCCCTTTGATTTATTAGTATCATACAATAAGAGTCCGCCAAACTGGTCATGAATTGCTTTCGCTGTACTTTTCAGACAAAGAATGTTTTCAACGCATGGTTGAGGGAATATTGGTTGGCGTTTGTTGTAGTGGTTTAACAAACAGCAGAAATTTAAAATCATCCGATACGCATCATTCAGTTGATCCATTGACGATAGAACTTGATCAATGTGTTTTTCCAAACGTTTTTCTATGTCAGCATATTCGCGTCCAAAAAGCTCCAACCCAAGCCACACAAATCTTTGTTCGCGGCTTAGAACTTTGATTGCCTTTTTTATGTGCTCATTTTCCAAGGTATTAAGAGCCTTACGCACAAGACATCTTTCAGTATCATCCAGTTTTCCAAGGGTTAAATTACCGTCTTCAGTATTTGTTTGCTTGCCGACAGGTACCGTATTTAGAAGAAGACATTTGGTTTTACCCCTTTTCAGTTCATCGATTAAGTGGTGCACTTCTTGCTCAGGAAAGTTGTCAACGAGTACTAAAACCGGTGGAATTTGAAAAGGGTCAAAGTCAGAAGTTTCATATTGAAATTTGTGCAACTGGTTGATTTGATAATCTGTTGTCCTAGTTATCTTTTTCACAACAGCACATCTGTAAATGTCTCTTTTCTGCCATAAAATCTGCCTTCCAAGAGTTGTTGCTCCTGAGCCCGATTCATATTTCAAAGTTACTGTATCGACAAAAACCTCACTTTCATCAGGAGATGACAAATTTTGCAAACTTTCTTCAACACAACTGCTCAGATTAGTTTCCAGAGTTCGAATAATTGCATCCTCATTAAAGAGATTCATTTGACTGATAGCATTACCTTTGTAGAAATATTCTTTTGCTTTTTTCTTATCTTCTAAATTATCACTTAGTCTAGGCTTTGGTAGATAAATCTCCAAATCATTAAGCGACTGAATCCTTTTATTGAGCACAAAACAATGATGACCATGGATGTATGGTAGCTCCACAGTTGTGTCAGGCTCTTCGAATTCGTCTGCTCCAAGTAGCTCCAAAACCACAGTTTTAAGAAGATTCATTGGAATTCCGAAACCAGAGCATGAAGGTTTTATCTCCTTATTAATGTCATCATCTAAGAGTTTTATCAACTTTTCTCTAGTTTCTTTCTTCTCAGGTATGACACTGATATGCTTATGAGTGTCGTTTGCACGAATAATGCTGAACGATGCCTCGATAATAGAAGCCATTTCTTTCAAATTGGTGTCACCCATTATCAAAAAAACACAATGTGGATGACCCGTAGGGCAGTCACAAAAGGCTGTTAACGCTTTGTAAACCAAGTCTTTCGAACATTTTGTCCAGTTTTCCTCGTGCAACTCTTTACTACGAGTAATCCAAGCGGTATCAACTTTTAAGAGCTCTTCATTTTTTTTCATATCACTGAAGTCACTTAAATCTTTTTTTATTGGTCTAGCACGGTCATTTGTTTCATTTGCAATATAATAAAGGCCATCTTTTTCTGTTTTTAAGTCAAACAAATCGAGTACTGCGATCCAAGGTATCTTCTTTAAAAATGCCAAAGTATTTGAGGCTCTGTACTCTTGAGAAACTTTGTTCGCTATCAGAATGAAACTATTTTCTTTGAAATTAAGATCTTTTAAACTGTCTCTGACATTCATTTTGAACACCTGAAGATCTGCTAGCTTCATGGTATCTAAAAAGAGTTATAGCTAGTTAAATTTCGTGTAAAATTATTGCGAATAAAAAGTGCTCAATATCGAAATAGAGTACATATTTACAAGTAAACTAGTCACAAATCTTACACTAGTTACAGAGAGTTTCATGCCAATGCAATCAAGAAACAAATGATCACAATATTGCGCGAGGTTAATAACTGATCGTTGATATTCATAAACTATTGTTACTTGAGATAATTTTTAAGAATGTTGCTTTTAAAATCTTTCGAGAGATCAATTGTTGGAGCCCAGTTTTACAGAGGTAGTTCAAATTTAGAGTCATTCACAACTTCTTCTTTGTTGAAGTAGAAATATGTTTCCTATCTCATTGTTTTAATCAAGCTTTCCTTTTTTTTATCGGCCGTCCTAAACATATTGGTTACGACAGGGTAAACCGATGTTCTTTAATGAATAGTTGAATTGGATTTTATGCTTTTTTACATCAAACTTGAACTTCAAATATCAGAGTGCAAAACTGTTGAACAGCTGAAAAATGCACGCAACAGCAATTTGTATCATTGTCTCATCAGAAGCAAAAGTGCTCAATAAAAAAGTTTGAAAACGACGTCGTAAATCCTTTCCAGAGCTGACTGGAAAACTCAATTGGAAAAATATTTACATCGACAACCTTATCAACCTTATGAATGAAGAATATCTTTAAAAATTAAAACACATCAAAACAAAAAGTGGCGATGAATAAAAGGAGTAGATTAGAATTAAAGGAAATTAGCTTAACATCGATCCTTTGTAAGTAACACAGCATGAATTTGTTCGTGATTAATTTACCCATTCAAGATAATAAAGTCTTAACAAGAGTTTTCACATGACCGACTTTTTCTATGAGAAATAATAAAATAGTTAACTTTTCTAAAATAGTTTAATAAATTTCTAGAACATAAAATATAATTATAAGACTTAAAAAGGAAAAATTAACAGAGAAAAAGTATATTTATACGATTCCCGACAAAAAACTGACGTTCAAATCACCTTGCAAACAGGCGAAAAAAACAAACTGCTATGTTGGAAAGTTATCAGGGTAAAATGCAACATTAATTTATAGATCTCGTTCATACTGAAGAATTATTTCTTTGACTGAAACTTACTCGCAAACTGTTCTTCAAGATCAGGTCTTGATTTCCATTCTCTTAACCTTATGATTCTGTGCACCAAAACACAGAATATGGAATATACCGAAGGGTCACTCGTGTCGGAGCCTTTGATGTTTTTGTCCTCGCGCATATGTATTTTCGATTTCATTGTGAAGAAACGAAAACATGTAATTGCAGTGGTTGGGAACAAGTGAAAAGCCCTAAATGTCTTGCTAGAATGCTGCGGCGCACACTTGAATGGCTCTCCTGTATAATTTTTATTTTGTGACCAAAAGGGGAAACTCTTGGAAAACTCTTAAGAAATACTCTTTATAGTTGTTAATCATTTCTTGAGTGTTTTGTAGTCATGATAAATTTTGTTGTCATATAGTTGCCAATTAAATCCATCATTGAAAATAATATAATTATTTCAGTGGTTATAACTTACTTGTAAAATGTTCTTCAAGATCAGGTCTTGTTTTCCAATCATTGAACCTTGTGATTCTATGCACCAGCAAAGGAAGCTCTGGGAAAACTCGTAAGAAATACTCTTTATGGTTGCCTTTCTTGATTGGTTTGTCATGCCAATTCTGGTGAACGTTTTGCAAAAATTTTAAGCAACCCAACCAAGTGGAGTCGCACTGACTTTTATTGAATTTACTAAAGACTTTAGGTTCAATACGGTCCATCCAATTTTTTAGACCATTTAACTGCACATGCACATCTGAGTTAAGAGGATGACCTAAATACGGTATCTCTATTCTTGGTTTGTTTGCAAAATCACACAGCATATCAAAGTTCTTCTCATAGGATTGTAGATAAGGGTGTTTTAACGCCTCGCTAGCAGATGGTCTGAGTTCAGGTACAATTTGTAGCATCCATGAAAGTAGATCTTTAAGTTCAACATCGTCGATTTCCTTTAAGCCAACAGGGTTTCCATCTAACAAGTTTTTCAGTCTATACTCTGGAGGTCCAAAAGGATGTTTCCCTTTTGTTGCAACATAATAAGCCACCATTCCTGCATTCTAAAATCAATGAAAACGTTTTTTCAGCATTTTTGTAAAGTTAATAAATTACATTTCAATTTGCAAATGGTACAATTCTAAACCTACCATTACATCAGACTTTTTTTGGTAACATGAATTATTAACTGATTCATCCTCTTCACTATAAGATTCAGGAGCAATCCAATACTCAGTTTCCCATTTAGCATTGCTTTTAAATCTCTTGGAGTCATTCTTCATCATTCGACTAATACCAAAGTCAGCTAGCAAAAATTTGCTCTGTGAGTTACGGAGAACATTGGAAGGTTTCAAATCTCGATGAAGAATAGAACCACTATGAAGATCAGCTAATCCTTTTAGCGTTTGCCGGAGAACTTTAGGAAGAGATTTTTGAAGATCATACAAGCTAGAAGATTGCACAAAACTCTCTAGAGATTCTTCACATAGGTCGAGTATCAAATATACATATTCAGTTGCAGTATCTTCTTCTAAGTGGTAATAATTTACAACATAATTCGACTCCTTAGGGTTGATTCCATTTAAAATTTTCTTTTCTTGCTGTGCAAGATTGATAAAGTTATCTTTAAGCATTCGTTTCACTGCTTTACCGTAACCATCTTTTCCCAGTCCGAGATAAACACGGGTTTCATTACTTCCTTTGCCGATGCAAAACTCGTCTGAAAAAAGTACACCTACATCGTTCACTTGTTTAATGACGACGTTTGGATCGCGTCCATACTCGATCAATTTTAAAAGCAATTCTCTATGTTGTGTTGATTCATCAATATATTTCCACTCTGGCCACACCAAGTCTTAAAATCATGTAAAATTGTCACATTTAGGCATGAATGATAAGAATAGTCAAACAATTAGCTAAAAGTTGTCTAAAGTCTTGCAAATATGATTCTACAATAGAACAGAAGAAATATGAATAATCAACAATAAAAAACAATACGTAGCTACAAAGCAACTTACAATATAGGCGTATTGATACAATCAGTTTCATTTCGACTCTCGACTTTTCATTTAAAATCTTGACTTTTTATTTTACTCTCGACTTTTACTATCGACTGTCACTCTGAGATAGTAGTTGGAATCTACTAACTTTATTTAAAACTGTTACAAATGAAATTTGACTACAGACTACAGAGCATGCACCATATGAAAAAAACATCACGATATAATGTTTAAGAGTATTTGAGCTCTGGATCTTCAAAAATATAAAATGCTGAAAATGCAAAGAATGTTTGCCAATCTTTAACCCGATATCCATGCCAAAATTAATTGCTAAATAGCGATGGATCAAAAACAAAGATTCTTGTTTTCCTCACCCATGAAAGTTTACACGGAAACCCTAAATGACTGACTCGATTAAATTTTCGTCAGTCTTATCAATATAGCATTTTTAAAAAAGTTTGCACCAAAAGCTATAATGTTTTTGACATTGAAAAGAAAGCCTAAAATCGGATCCATCATTGAAAATAATAGAATTATTTCAGTGGTTATAACTTACTTGTAAAATGTTCTTCAAGATCAGGTTTTGTTTTCCAATTATTAAACCTTGTGATTCTATGCACCAACAGAGGAAGCTCTGGGAAAACTCGTAAGAAATACTCTTCATAGTCGCCTTCCTTGGTATGTAAGAATGGTTTATCATGCCAATTCTGGTGAACGTTTTGCAAAAATTTTAAGCAACCCAACCATGTTGAGTCGTATTGACTTTTATTGAAATTACTAAAAACTTCAGGTTCAATACGGTCCATCCAATTTTTTAGACCATTTAACTGCTCATGCACATCTGAGTTTAGAGGATGACCTAAATACGGTATCTCTATCCCTGGTTAGTTTGCCACATCACACAGCATATCAAAGTTCTTCTCATAGGATTGTAGATAAGGGTGTTTTAACGCCTCGCGAGCAGATGGTCTGAGTTCAGGTACAAGTTGTAGCATCCATGAAAGTAGATCTTTAAGTTCAACATCGTCGATTTCCTCTAAGCCAACAGGGTTTCCATCTAACAAGTTTTTCAGTCTATACTCTGGAAGACCAAAAGGATGTTTTCCTTTTGTTGCAACATAATAAGCCACCATTCCTGCATTCTAAAATCAATGAAAATGAAACAGCTTATAAGAAATGTCGAAAATCAAAGTCAATTTAATTTGCAAAAGTTACCCTTTTGCACCTACCATTACATCTGACTGTCTTTTGAAACGAGCTTTTTTTTTCGACTGACCCTTCATACAATATGATTCAGGAGCAATCCAATACTCAGTGCCACTTTTTGCAATGCTTGAATATGTCGTACGGCCATCCTTCAATATTCGACTAATACCAAAGTCGGCTATTAAAAATTTACCTTGTGCGTCTCGTAGAACATTTGAAGGTTTTAAATCTCGATGAAGAATAGGACGTGGCTCACTATGAAGATCAGCTAATCCTTTTAAAATTTGTCTGAGAATTTCTGGAAGAGTTTTTCGAATATAAGTCAAAGAATTTGCTTCTGACAGTACGAAATCCCGCAGTGATTCTTCACACAGATCAAGTATTAAATATACATATTCTGTTCCACTTTCTTGTTCTAAGTAAGAATAATTTACAACATACTCCGACTTCTGTGCATTGCTTTCATTCAAAATTGTGTTTTCTTGCAGAGCAAGATTGTTATCTCGTCGTATTCGTTTCACTGCTTTACCGTAACCATCTTTTCCAAGTCCAAGATAAACACGTGTTCCATCACTTCCTTTGCCGATACAAAACTCTTCAGAGAAAATTACACATATATCACCCACATATTCAACCTTGATGCTGGGATCACGCCCATACTCAATAAGTTTTTGGAATGATTCTAGATGTTTTGTTGATTCACCAAGGTATTTCCATTCTTGTAACTGCAATTCTGAAATTGAAGTAAAAGAATTACATTCATAAAGAGTAAATGTGAATGAATAATCAGATGTATAAAAGTAGCTCAAGCTTCTTTTTATTGCATTGAGACTTTTCATACCAAGTGTACATTTCAAAATATTTTATGAAAAACTATCATCAACAACTCGTTCAAGCTAGTGACGTAGGAAGGAGGGTACGTGCCCCCTACAACTTTTAAATTCAATATAAAAAATTGCCTTTTTTACAAGAAAAGTGTCGTTTTTGAATGAAAAAGTTTACCAAAAAAGTTTGAGCCCCCTATTTTTCTATTGCTTCTTACGCCACTGGTTCAGGCAATACATTCTGGCATGAGTGGAGCATAGCAGATAACAAAAATACGGTTAAAAGAATATTACACAAACAATTTTGTGACGAACAACCTGAGTGAAACTCTGAAGAAAGAATATTTAGTTTTTCAGCCTCAAATTTATAATAGATATTGACTCATACTAAAATTTATCTTTTAGCTAAGCTGAATTCATCTGATTCTATACCTTTATTCTTCTTCTTCCTATCGAGGTCTTGCACTTTCTGCTCTATTAAATCCTTTAAGTAATGACGGCCTTCCTTTTCGTATATTTGCATTAGACGCTGCATGGCATTTTTTTGTTTCTCCATATCTTCGCCATTTGTAACAATCTCCAAATAAATTTCATAAATATGTGTTGCTTCACCCAAATTTTCAAGTTTATCAAACAATTCAGCTAATTCCCAATAAACAGCTAACACTTCACTTACAATTCCAGCAGAAGTAACAATTGACAAATTCTTCAAGTAATGGTCAACGAAATCTTCACTAACGTTAATACCACCAACTTTTTCTTGTCGTCTTAGTCGAGGTCTATTTTGTTCTTGTTCTTGTTGTTGTACCTGTTGGTTTCCTAGTTGATTTTCTTTTTGCATTTCCTGTTGGTGTTGACATTCAAGAAGATTAAATCCTTTTTTGTAATGCTCCAGAGATTTCTCATATTTTCCAAGCAACTTATTCAATCCTCCTAATGCAATATGGCAGAGACAATCCATTTCATCTTTCTTTATGCCGTCCTTCAGTCTGTTAGTGGTAGAGTGAATATTCCCCAGGCCAAGATATACTTCATGCTGAAAATACTTACTTTCCACTTTAGAAGAAAGATTCAAACAATCATTAAAACAGTTTAATCCTTCCTGCCATTTATCAGAGAGAGTATAAGCGTTACCAAGACCAAAGAACGCCATTATTTCGACGCTAATTTCGTTTGTAACATTCAAACATTCTTGGTAGTGTTTAATTGCCCTTTCGTAATCGCCATTTTTCATATTAAAATTTCCCTCTTCCAAGGACTGCATAGCTGCTGGTTGTGACTGCCATAACCCCATCTCTTCTTGTGATACGGCAAATATTTGTTTGAGCTCTTGATTATTATTTCCAACTTTCCTTCAGTGGAACTTTCCAATCTCAACTTTGGATTAATCACAGGAAACGTAGTGGTTCGTTTAGAAGCGTTGAAAGAGTATCTGTGAATTAACTTCGACTGTTATTTGTTACAAGCGAACAGGAAAATTTTTTGTTTCATCTATTTCTACGTAGATTTTAGGCGCTCATTTGCTATCGTGTTTAACGCAATACAAAATTTCTAACGTCTTATTGACTGTTTTCTTGGGTATTCAATTTAAAACAATAAAGTAAATTAATTGATGGAGATTCTTGAGCTAAAAATATGATAGATATAAACGAATTTGTTCTTAATTATGTAAACGTTTCTGCGACAATATATGTTATCTGTTTCAAAGACATGGATGAATGAATATGTGACTTAACAATGACCAAGACCTAACTCTTGCTCCTATTTTCGAATTTTGTCCGATTCTTATCCTACTACAGCAGCTATACTTTGCACTAGCTGTGGGTTTTTTCATGAGTAGAAAACATGTGCAGGCATAACTGAAAAGCTAGTATGAATGCTTCATCCTTTGACATTACCTTTGCTGTAAATAAGCATGCAATTAAAATTATACACAGCTAAAAGTCGCTAGCTAAATAGTTATTCGCAAACAAATTTATAGATTTTTTTGTGAAGTCATTTATTTTTGCTCCATTTTCACGATGTCGTAGACTGCATATCGTGTTTGCCAAATCGATAGTTAGTTTCGACATCAGTGACTATATGACTTGTCTGCTTTCATTGTTAAAATTTCATAATTTATTTATGTTTTTATTTAACTATTCATACATTTATTATAAGAATTTTCTTATACTTCCATGCTATTTATCAACAATCTTCAATACTTCCTTTTGTCCTTATTTTCTCACCGCTCAACAATTACGAGCAATTTTAGCTGAGTCTTAGCACACGGTTAATGCCCTAATGGCCATTGGCTCAAAAACTGTCTGTTAACCAACCTATTCTTATAAATATTCGCAAACAACAAAATTTTGAAGAAGTAATGTAAAAGAAGTTCAGATACAAATTATAAATCAAGCAATCGCTTTAAATAATGCCAAGACCAACTTTCCCAAGAATTATTATTATTTTTAAATTGCCTGCGTGTCATTCCCGGCAACGATTTACATCGTCATCCGACAAGAGAAAATATTAAATGTTTTAGAACAGTTCATCGTCTTAACAAAGTTTTTTCTTTTTTATGGCTGTGGCGAAAAGTATACAAAAAATATAAGGTTAAAGACATAGATTTAAATACAGAGGGATAAATAAGATAAACAGAACTAACCCTGGCAAATGAATAGATTATACATTATGAAATATTTCACATATATTCAACCTAACATTTAACGCGTACCATTCTTTAGTTTTGTGATTAATACAATACAACCATGTCTGGAAAACTTACAATTAATACGATGATCTTTAAGTGTTTGAAAATTTGAGAAACTTTGATTTCGTTGCCATTTTTGTTATAAACAGATTATAAACATAAAAGTATGTTAAATGCGTCGTAGATTAATATCGTTTGATAATAAATGTAAAGCATTTCTATAGATCGCAGAGGGAAACAAATATATTTACTGCAAAAATGGATAAGGAATTTCAAGTATTACTTCAAACGTCATACGCACATGTAACTTATGCCTCTGCCCTCTGGTTGTAAACAAAAGAACGAGCCCTTTTATAGTGAAAAACACCGAACTTTGCCTTGGTTAGAAATTCTTTTTTGAAGAGTTCGCTCTTGTTGGGACTAGGCGACACTGTATCTACAAAACAGTACTATATGATCTAATGAGTACTATGCTTTATAAACATTTTAAATACACGATAATATTTTTCAATTTTTTCTTTTAATGATAGATAATTTTCAACTTAGCTATAAGACACCTTCAGTGTGATTGAATACGATATTTATATCATACAATGATATATCATAAAATGAGATTCTACAGTTGAGGTGATACAGGGGCCGCGGATAGGTTTAAAAAGTGGGGTGGGGGGTCAAAAGAAGGTGGCAGAATTGGATTGTTGTTGCCATTATAGTAAATTTGCTTTTAACAGTTTTATCAGTAAGCATTCAATATACAAAATTTGTTTCATTTCGTGTGTTCGGACTGAGTGGTGCTGGCAGGATTTTATTTTTTTGGGGAAAGTGCAACACCTCCAAAATGTCACATACAATACATAACGAAATGTTTATTTCAACTGAAACTTTCAAGTTACGTTTACAGAAACTTCAGTATGTGAAATATATTATTGGCAGTTGTCCCCCTTGCCGGAGCTTCTGACAATATATTAGAATCAAAAATCACATAAAAAAAAGAAAATGCATCTTGGAAAGCATTTATAGAGTACTTAAAACATGCATATTGATTATTATCAAATGAAAAAACCTTTTTAGTGAAAATAACAACTAAATTGGGACATTGTATAGTGTCATGGAATTCTAATTTGGCTACATCGTTTAACATAAAAAATTGTTGTTATGACTAAGCTGTAAAATGTTTGTTAAGATCGTCTCTTGTCTTCCAGTCAGTCAATCTTATGATTTTGTGCACCAGAAGAGGCAGTTCAGGAAAACGTTGCAAGAAATAATCTATATAGTTGCCTTCCTTGACAAAACGCAACAGATGTGTTCGAGTTTCATCGTACCAATGCTCTTTCACGTTTCTTATGAATCTTAAACACTTTGCCAATGTAGGCTCGTATGTCAGAGTTTTCTTTTTGCCATTCTTTTCAAAGGTTATGAAATCTTTCAAGACTTCATCATCGATACGCGTCATCCATTCCATGGGAGCATACAATTGCGCAACAACATCTGAATTCGGAGAACTTTGACTTTGTGATTGTTTCATTTCCGGTTGGTTTCCCATATCACATAGCATACTAAACTTTTCTTCATCAGATAGTAGATAAGGGTGTTTTAACGCCTTTTTGGCAGATGGCCTGTCTTCTGGTAAATGTTGTAGCATCCATGAAAGTAGATCTTTAAGTTGAACATCTATGATTTCCTTTAAGCCAACAGGGTTTCCATCTAACAAGTTTTTCAATCTATACTCTGAAGGTCCAAAAGGATGTTTTCCTTTTGTTGCAACATAATAAGCCAACATTCCTGCATTCTAAATCGATCAAACAGAATAGCGTGAATAAATTGTCGAGAATTTAATTTATGTGTCATTTACTAAAGGATACATTTCTACACCTACCATTACATCTGACTCTTTTTTGTAACTTGCTTTATCAACAGAATCTTCATTTTTACAATATGATTCAGGAGCAATCCAATCCTGAGTTCCCTTTTTAGAGCTAGTATGATATGTCTTAAGGCCACCCTTCAATTTTCGACTTATACCAAAGTCAGCAATCAGAAATTTGCCATGTGCGTCTCGGAGAACATTGGAAGGCTTTAAATCCCGATGAAGAATAGGACATGGGCCGCAGTGAAGATCAGCTAATCCTTTTAACACTTGTCTGAGAATTTCGGGAAGAGATTTTTGAAGATCCTGCAATGTAGAAGATTCCACAAAACTCTCCAACGATTCTTCACATAGGTCTAGTATCAAATAGACATAGTCTGTTCCAGTGTCCTCTTCTAAGTAGTAATATTTCACAACATATTTCGACTCCCTTGCGTTGAATTCACTCAAGATTTCCTTTTCTTTCTTGGCAATCGTGATGCAGTTATCTTGACGTATTCGTTTCACTGCTTTGCCGTAACCATCCTTTTTCAGTCCCAGATAAACACGGGTTCCATCACTTCCTCTACCGATGCAAAACTCCTCAGAGATTATCACACGTACATTGTCTACATGCTTGACCTCGACATTGGGATTTCGTCCATACTTAATCAATCTTAAGAACAATTCTTTATGTTTAACAGATTCACCAATGTATTCCCACTCTGATGATAACAATTCATAAAATGATAAAAGTATAAAATTAAGGTTAAGTAAAACGGAAACAATCAATGAACAGATTACTAAAAAGCTTTCTTTTTAGTGCAAACTCTCTACCTTTTTCGTTCTTTTTCATAATGATTTCTTGTAACTTCGCTTCCATCGAATTTCGTAAGTAATAACGCTCTTCTTCTTCGTATATTTGTATCAGATATTCCATAGCGTTCTCTTGTTTTTCTATATCTTCATCTTCTTGGGCAAACCCCAGATACATTTCATAAATATCTGCTGCTTCCCTATATTGCTCAAGTTTATCAAACAATTCTGCTAATTCCCATAAAACAGCCAACACTCCACTGACAATTCCAGCTGAAGTAATAATTGACAAATTCTTCATGTTAAGGTTGACGAAGTCTTTACTAACGTTGATACCACCAACTTTTCTTTGTCGTTGTGGTCGATGGTGCTGTTCATGTTGTTGATGTTGAGATTCGATAAGAGAAAATCCTTTTCTATAATGCTCCAAAGATTGCTCATAATTTTTAAGCAATTTATTCAATCCTCCCAATGCAATATGGCAGAGACATTCCATTTCATCTTTCTTCATGGCGTCCTCCAATCTTTTAATAATGGAATGAACACTCCCCAGGCCAAGGTATACTTGATGTTCAAAATATTCCGTTTCAATTTTAGACGAAAACTTTAAGCAATGCTTAAAACTGTTCAATCCTTCCTCCCAATTATCAAAGAGTGTGTAAGCATTACCAAGACCAAAATATGCTATCGTTTTCAGGCTATTTTCGTCTGCAACTTCTACACAATTATTGTAATGTTCAATAGCTGTTTTATAATCGCCATTATTCATAGAACAATTCCCTTCTTCCAAGATCCCCATAACTGCTGGAACCATGAAAGCTAGATCTCTTCTAGTAGTAATGCAAAAATTTATCTAAGTTCTCCAATGTTCTTCATGTGAACAGCAAACTTTTCTTTATTGTAGTTATTTTTTTGCGCCAATCATCAAAGTTAACTGTTTAACTATATAAGGCAAAATTATGAGCTTTATTTAGTCAACTGTTTAGTTTCAAAATTACAATAGAGGAAATTCATTTATGGAAGTTTAGAGCAAGAAAATGAGAGATCTGACTAACATGTATGTAGAGTGTGTGTAGGGTGTTATATACCAATAAGTTAAAGATAGGGCAATTTTGCAAATTGAAGGTAAATCAATTCTCGATAATGAATGTTTTAACATTCCTCCCCCCCCCCCGATAAGTATCATAAGTTAATTAATTCATTCAAGTGCCCATGTCAGCAACATTAAATTTAGGAGTGATTTCCACCGTATTAGTAAAAAGTTTTTAAGTTTCTCAAATCGCTCCATTTTTAAGGCTGTTTAAAGTAGGCAAAATGCTCCTTTTTATGGAGCTTGTCAGTCGCAGGAAAAGTCTGGAACGACTTACTTTTGTAAAGTTCAGGTCTACAGCGCGATGAATCTGTGTCAAAAGAGAATCACAAGACGCACCAAGAATCAAATTCTTATAATCCGTTGGCCTTAGTTAGATAATATACGGGAAATGCGCATGATTGAATCTTTGGAAGCTTCAAAAGATATACATTTGATAAAAGTTGCATTTAATCTATTCGAGATTGCAGTAATGCAGCATAGATAATTGGTTAATGATAAACTATCTCAAAAGGTTGATTCTTCTAATTCTCATCAATAAGGTGCTTCACCTTTATGAAATAAACTTATCAGCCTATAACTCTAAGTATTGAAATCATTCCCAAGCATATTCTTTTTCATAAGAAAATTTGCTTGCGTGTGCTCTTCCTGCCACGTATATCATACCACTTTTGTCATGAATACACGTTAACAAAGTAAAAACCTATGTTATTGCCTTGTTTTTTGGAAATTGAAAATCTGCATCTTGACTAGAGAATAAAAACTGTACAAAAATACACCAATTATTATGAAATGGTTTTATTTTGAATTGTTATTGCCGATATAATTTTTACTTTGATTACGGTGAGTTGCAAAGAATTATCCTGTTAAAAATATAATCTGAAGATTTGTACTCGGAAAATAGACATATAAATAAGGAAGACAGGCTTTATGTAATCAAATTTAACTTCTGACACAATGAATTTTCTAATGAATGAAAAAATCCGCAAAATTCAACCTTACGTTTTAAAGTGTTCCGGTTTTTAATATTGACTATTGGTGAGAGTAAAATACAACTAACTCTACAAAACTTACAAAAAATTCTCCGGTCTTCAAGTAATTCAACACTATTGACTTCTTCACCGTTTTTACTACCGTCTGACTACAAGGATCAAAACAACAAGAATGATTTGTTTTGCAAGTCCTCATACCTACATAAATTTTCTCAATTTGAAAAGATCACAGCAAGATATAGTGACCTGGCGACACTTGGTGGCGGAGATTGGAGGAGTTTTGAAAGGGCGTTGTTTAAATTTTACACGCGAATGCTTTCAAAAATGCTTTTGGTGTGAGCCATAAGCAAAGACATTAGAAGAAACACAAAAAAAACAGTCGGTTATTCATCACATACATCACCATAAATTTGGTCCAAACAGCGAAACAGAAAAGATAAATATTTCATTTTCTAAACCATTCAACTGGAATTTACTTTCTCTTTATCGCATTTTTCCCCATATTTTAGCTTATGATCCATTATACGAAAACCACTGACAATATGAGTCCATGGTGAGCTTTTATAGAAGATAAATGATCATTCATTTTCTCTATACTTTCTTATTCGTTCTTGCAATCGTTTTGTAAACGCCTAATTAATAATTAACAAATTATTAAACATTTCATAACTCTGCTATACCGGTCACAAGCCCGGGACTTGTAGCGTATAAGGCTCTCTGCTTTTGAGTAGACTTGTCTCGTTTACAAGGAAGAGGAGTGGAAGGTTAATTTCTCAAATGTTGTTAGATAAGGTCGTTATTGTTTGTATTTGTTGGTTATAGCGCTGTGCTATCATTCTTTTTGTTTAATAACATTCCAACTATTTAACCTTGTGATTATACTTATACATATTGGCAAGCGGGATGCTTGTAACAATCTATGTTTAACATCGATATTAGATTCTTTTCCAGTGGAAAGCGGGATGCTTTCACTGAAGGGCAATGATGTATTGTCTAACATTAACACCGGATTATGTTACTGATATTTAACATGGAATTCGAGCTTTGTCCATATGAACTGTTCAACATGCTTCCAAACAAAAAATGAGCAGGAATATTCAGTTGATTAATCTATGATAAACCTTTCACCTTTTAACTCTGCTATACCGGTCACAAGCCCGGGACTTGTAGCGTATAAGGCTCTCTGCTTTTGAGTAGAATTGTCTGGTTTACAAGGAAGAGGAGTGGAAGGTTAATTTCTCAAATGTTGTTAGATAAGGTCGTTATTGTTTGTATTTGTTGGTTATAGCGCTGTGCTATCATTCTTTTTGAGAAAATACAAAGTATTACGAGAAAAATTATTAATTTGGATATGCTGATTGATGCAATAGACCAAGCAGTGGCTAATAAATAAACATCAAATCCACTTCATTCGAACAAATAAATTCACGTGACGCATAACTATATGAAGGTTTCTCTTCACACGTCATAGACAATCTTGAAAACTTGTCATCAACGAGATTTAGTCCCAACGATATCTGTAAACTTACTTGTGGTTAAAAACGCAACAAAAAAACCCCCAATTCCATGGAATTACTGTATAGCTATCGCATTTATATTTTTTATATTTTTTCCAATAAAATTGTTCACTGTTATAGATATCATCGGAGGATTTGTACATAGAAGTAACTCCGATGAGTTTGGAGAAGATCGTGAAAATTCAATCAAACTACGAATGTCTTCCAATTTTTAATATTGACAAGAATACACCCCACCCAGGATTGAAAAAACTTACACGTATTCTTTTGTTTTCAAGTGTTGCAATAATTTTAATTTCTCCACCGTTTTTACTTCTGTCTGAAAAAAAATCAAAGAAAAAAGACGATGAAAATTTAGGGTAGAATTTAGCCATAAGAGACTATAATCAAAATGCTATTGTTCAAATTAAATAAGAAAAGTGTATGCAACTGTGGTTAGTTATCAACCTTGGAAGTTGGCTGACTGTAAATATTGCCTGTGACACACCACAAAGTGTATGCAACTGTGGTTAGTTATCAACCTTGGAAGTTGGCTGACTGTAAATATTGCCTGTGACACACCACAAAGTGTATGCAACTGTGGTTAGTTATCAACCTTGGAAGTTGGCTGACTGTAAATATTGCCTGTGACACACCACAAAGTGTATGCAACTGTGGTTAGCTATCAACCTTGGAAGTTGGCTGACAGTAAATATTGCCTGTGACACACCACAAAGTATATGCAACTGTGGTTAGCTATCAACCTTGGAAGTTGGCTGACTGTAAATATTGCCTGTGACACACCACAAAGTGTATGCAACTGTGGTTACTTATCAACCTTGGAAGTTGGCTGACTGTAAATATTGCCTGTGACACACCACAAAGTGTATGCAACTGTGGTTAGCTTTCAACCTTGGAAGTTGGCTGACTGTAATATTGCCTGTGACACACCACAAAGTGTATGCAACTGTGGTTAGCTTTCAACCTTGGAAGTTGGCTGACTGTAAATATTGCCTTTGACACACCACAAAAAAGCTACGAGAACTATAGCTTTGGAAAATCGTCCAGTTTGCACAAATGCTTCTTAAGGTATTTTTATAGTTATTATGGATATTATTATTATCTTACACAAACAATCTCATAAAGGATTTTGAATCGAAAATGCTTAAAAATATTGGGCGCAAGGAGACGTAAAAAATCCTGAGATGACGAGATTACAACGAAAAGCATAATCAAGAAGTATATGTTGAATGTTAGAAAGTATATCACTACGTATGGCAGATACAATTTATAAGTGCCTTATACATAAATTTGATAGTATAACTTACTTTCATAGTCGGGGTAATATTCCGTTCCTTCACCTTTAGACTCGTAACGTTCTGTCAATTGAAAAGTCACCAAACGTGTGACAGTATTTTAGTCAATAAAATTCGACTCAGAAAAAACCTTAAAGATATATCTATAGTTGGTGCAAAATCTCTAGACGACAATTATCGAGGTAAAAAGATCAATAAAGAGTATGTATGTTCTACGATAAAATGTTGGAAAATATATCCATATTTTTTCCATGTATAGGTTACACACAATTTACGAGGGTCTCGCATAAATTTGATTGTATATAACTTACCGCCATCCATGAAGTAACTTTTCATTCGTTGAAGGCAACTCTATAAATTCTGTATTATCCAAGGTGAATATCGAACTTAGGAAATTCTGCAATCATAAGTACATATTTATCAAATCTTCGTCTTTCTCACTCGTTGAAATGAAAAGATTAAAATAGAATTCTTGCACAGTTTTAATATTCAATCATTAAGGCGTTTAAATTACATATAACATCATAACCTTCAACGCCGTACGTCAACAAAGCAACTTTCCGTGATTATTAACCTTAACGTAGATGAAAATTTATAAAAATTAAACATACGCAGGAAGAAAATTTTCAGAAATTGTACTCATCCTTGTTAAAACATCCAACTGTATGAAGTTAATCGTCAAAAATCTACGATAATCATTTGATGCACGCCAAATAAGAGTGTGTTTTTTTACAAATTATTGTCGAAACAAAAATATTTATCATAATAGTAGCAAAGTAGCTACATCTTAGGGGAAAGCTTATTATTCACAAATTCTAAAAATTATGATTACCAAACAAAACAACAAAATCACAAAAATTTGGACAACCGAATCAAACAAGGCGCTACCATGCAACACCTAATGAGAAGAAAAAAACCTTAAGGGTATTGGCATGTAAGATATACAGTATTAGAATTTAGAATAGTCCGTTCATCTAAAATGAAAGAATTCATTGAAAAATGTAATATTACGCGTGTCAATGACACACTTCATTGCATAACTATTTAAGATGTAAATATTTAAAATAACAAGAAAAAGATCTTTGTTCATTCGATACTAGCGATACCGAGAATTTGTCTATTTTTACTTTCCTATTATCATTCTAATCGAATTCTTCCTGGTAAATGTTCAAAATTATTTTTTGTTAACTGTAACTAATAAGAGACTGAAAGATATGTGTTAAAAACAGAAATTGGGGATTTGAACATGGAATTAAAGACTGTTACGCTCAAAAAAATTAAATTGAATTTGTGAAGTCTTTTGTTTTGTATAAAGGTAATAACAAATTGTTAAGAGTTTTTCATTTAGGCATTGGAAGTTCGATTTAATCGCGAAGAGACTGACTTTCTATCTTATAGAAAAATCCAATACTAACTATTGTCGATTGAATCAAACGCCTGACGCGTGAAATGTTCTTAAAACGGTTATTAGGGCATTCAAAGAATTCACAAATGCAATCTAGAATAGCAACGTGTAGTTTTTATCCAGTAAAGAACATGTCACAACTATGTTTGTAAAAATTCTCTCACCTTTAAAAGTTTCAACAACCTCCACTTCTTCACCGTTTTTGCTTCCGTCTGACAGCACGAATGCCTTTTTCTGCAGCTCGTGACCTTGAGAGAAATAAATATTTCTTTTACAATGTAGCATTTCAAATTCAAAAGATCATAGCTGGGAAAACATGCTTTATAGAGATTTCTCCAAGCAGTTTTCGTAAATGACTGCATTTCAGTATGCTCACAATCGTAAAGTTGAAATGTGTTTGAAAAAAGTATCGTCTACAAATAAACAGTTATTACAAATAAACATTAATTCCAATAAATCTTGCGTAAATCTACCAATAGCAAAACACAAATTGTTTATGAATGGACTGTTACTTAAATTATTCAACTGGAATTTTCTTTATATCATACTTGATGATGGCTTGGGCAGCAAGAAAAAATCCTTACTTTATCGTTTCTGTCACCATTTTGTTGACCTTGCAACTGCTCATGAAAAAACTTCGGACATTCTGTGAATTTGACAAAATGCATTAACAAAAATAGGTACGCTTGCGTACACGTGGGAAGCCTGTAAAACAGGAGACGCAAAAAGATTGAAACAAGTGGAGTTGCAGTCACTTTAACATAGGATAAGAACTTTCTAGTAGGCATAAATTTAACAGTTCGAAATTGTTATGAGACCATCTGGCAATTGCGATGAAATATGAGTTATGTTTGATCCCATTTATCTCTGCTTCAAGACCTGGTATTTAAATTCTGTTTAAACAATATTACTATTTTGAAACATAGAATTCATTGATTGACAACTTGTTTTATCATGATACTTTGAACTCCTGATACTAACAACAGAATTGTCATTATTTGTGGGGGGTTGAAAAAAGGTTTGAACTTTTTGTAAATAAGAAATATGATAAAAAGGCAGTGCATACAGTGTCATCACAGACATGTCTGCCACTCTCTTGTTTTGCATAGCCTAATTTCTTGGACAAATAAAATAACTCACCTTCAATGTTGCAAACAGACCAGTGAGACCTCTCCCAGAAAATTGTACAGCTCAATATTAGTGCAAACTAGATAGACAGTAATGAGTAATTGTAAACTAGCATTAAAAATACTCATTGCAGACACATTTTCATTCAGTGACTGTGTCCAAATTATAAAAAATACGCAAGAATTTAGCATAATAATAACGGAATCCAACAATTATATACTTTTTCGGAGCCCATTTGCAGATAGTAGAGAAATTTTTTGATTGCATAACAAAATAATGTGATAATGAAAACTATTAGTAAGAAATGGCTTTAGGTGAACTTATGTAAGGAATTCTCTTTTCAATAATACAAAAATCAGGTGCACCTTTGTGTGAAAATATGATCTTTGGCCGACTTTGGCCAGCAAGGGCACAAATTTTTCCAAAGTATTTTTTCACAACAGAGGAATGTGTTCAGGAAAATGGGCCTGAAATTAAATAAGCAATTACTTGATTTAATAAAGTTAGATATAATTACTGGTAAACAAAATAATAGCACATAATAAATGCTTAAAATTTCTCAACTAAATAAGTCTTCATTTTTAACATATCCCAAGTGCTTGATACCTTCATATCAATCACCAACAATTTACACATAAATTCATTCACTTTTCCTTCAGTTTCAAAGAAATAAACACAAACAAATCCTAAAACACTTCTCCAATGTTTTTCCAGAAATACATCCCACAATTACCCATGACATCATTTTTGTCTAACCTTGGACATTTGTTTACTAGACTTTTTAATGTCATGGCATTTTTCATTTTATCTTAGTATAATTGCATTAATCATGTCAGGTGATACCACAAATAAAAATAAGCCTTCACTTTGTAGCCCTTGTTCAAGCTTTCATTTAATATCATACTGCAACTTATCTCACTATATCTCATTCAAATTTAATTATAAATTACATACTTGAATAATTACAAGCTAATATGCACAAAACCAACAAAAGAGCCTGAAGGGGAAATTTTATCTATAACCATTAACCAATACCTGCATAAAACTATTTTCATTTAAGTTCATTTTGTAAATATTTATATTTTTGCTAACATTTAATAAAGATGTTTCCATTTGAAAAAATTCAAAACATTCATCTTACTTGTCCCCAGTTACTTTCTTCAGTCGATAATAAAACTTATTATTTTTCCATGGCCTGATGTCTTTTGAACAGCCACAAACGTCTGCCATCCACAGCAATCAAACACAAGTTCCTAAACTGCATAAATGATCGGTGCAAACTAACAAACCAACAAGGGCCTAGAGAGGAAATTTGATCTATAAAAAACATTAACCCATATATATCCATCATATATATCATATCTACTCACATTAAAGCGTTGATGATAAACAAACTGTGAATCATTGTGAAATACATATACTAAACCTATAATAATATATTTCTCGTTTACTTAACTAACTTTGATGGTTGTAAAACTATTTTCATGTGAGTTCATTTCGTAAATATTTATTAATTATATTCATATTCTTGCTAGACAATATTAATGACGATGTTTCCATTTAAAAAAATAACATTCATCTTACTTTTTCCCAGTCCACTAAAGACTCATCGACACTAATCTTCACTTGATGATCATAAAGATTTTTGTCTTCATCGTCAGAGAAAACAAGTCAATAAAATGTAAAAGAATCTCCAACAGTTATAAATGAAATATGATGACGGATAAAATACCATGTAATACGTACATACAAGAGAGGTGCTTTGCTTTTAGCCGATTTTATTTTGTTTTGAAAAACGTATTTAGAAATAGAGATGCATGATGGACCGTGATTTTCTTGTCATGGATTCTTATCAATTTTGCTTTTCATCGACTAAAAAAAACAACTAAAAACTCTCGAGGAAAATATCAAACTCTTACATTTTACATGATCATATGGAAAGACTAAATCATATTGCTAACGAAAAGTTAATAAAAACAAACAAGAAAAATGTTATTCTGTATAGTTCATGTATCGTTACAACATGTTTGCTGACCAATGATTAAACAAAAAACCAAAAATCATACAAGGTTTATTTATAATTATGAAATAAACAAACAAAATGAATTAAAAATAATTTAAACGCTAAATGTACATAGCATCAAAATTCTTCACGAACAAAAATGGACGACGACTGTTTCTAATATTCTCGTTTTTCTTAGAGCAAAAAAACAGGATGTCAGATATGTAAGGTTTTCATTTATGTTATATGGTTAGTTCTTTACTAAGTAAAAGTTTCATATATTCATAATTATTGGATTATTACATCATCAATAAGGAGTTAGTATCTCGTAAATGTTTTTAAAATAACTGTTACTACACGACAGCCATTTAGGACTGCATAAGGCCTGGGGAAACATAATTGATCTTGTTTATATAAATGACCAAACTTTCACAATGGCACTCAATTTAGACTTTTATATTGTTAATTTTTAGAGAATTAAAAAGACAATGTAAAAGTTAGTTCCAATAAAAATAACTATGATTGATGTCATGGGAAGTTTTTCATGGGAAATGTTGTCGTGGAAGGTTTTTTCATCATCTGTAAAATATTGACCATCGCTAAGATTCAGTTCATTCAAAGCTATGTCTAATTTCAAGCAGATGAGGTAAGTTTCATCATCATCAGGAGTCTCCAGGATGAACTGATGGAATCACACGTCAAACAATAACTGCATTTCGAAAATAAATTTGTTTGAGTCCTAGCACCAAAAAGCTACATTCGAAATTTTATCTTTGGAGACTGCATAGAGAGATAATATAGTAACAAATCAAATGATAGTGTGCTATATCAATATATCAAGTCAAAAATAAGCCAAAACTCTTGAGCAAAATACCGAACTATATCTTACTACATGTTCACATCTCAAACACAGATGTAATGTGAGAGCGTTTTTCGCAACAGACCTTTGATAAACAATTCACGTAAGAGCTTAGCCCAAATATCTTATCTAAGTCATACAGTTATTGGTCCACAGACTCCATCACCATAACGTATATAGTCAACTGACAAGTAACAAGCCAGAAACTTAAGTATTATGCAGTACTCCACCTTGTGAGAGTTGCATATATGGTTATAATCTTTAGGTGAAAACACTGGGTCTGCTAAATGAAGAACCAGTATTGGACGAGAGTAAATTTGTTGAAGAACATGTAAAATTATTTCACTTGCAAAAAAAACAAGATCGTCAAATACGAAACGTTGTCGCTTGCTACCTGTGGTAGCTTTAAAGCTTGTTTTTGTTTTTGTTTTGTAGCAAAAGAGCTACATACTCATAATTAATGCATAACTACATCTTTCAAGAATTTTTGCTTTTTAATTGATTAAATTAAATAAGTGCAAACCATACAAATATTTATTTATAAATACATGACGGCAAAGTACTGAAATTAGTCATGTTGAATGGCAAATAATTAGTAAATGTTTTTATAGTAAGAGTAACTACATGACAATGTAAATGAATAAAAACGTGCAGTATGTAATATACACCTGTTTTGACTCACTCATCAAATCTAGATGTTTAAAAATCTACAGAGGAAAGTAAATAAATGAAGTTTTCGCTATAGGAGCTACATTATAAGTATATTTTAGTAATATAGTTATATATTTTTCAACTATATAGTAATATAGTTTTCGCTCTAGGGGCTACATCAAGCAAAGAGTATTATTATCATTTTAATTGTTGGGTTTTTTCTTAACGTCGAGGATTTGCAATTTGTTGAGACTCTTCAAATAAGCTCACTTAATTCTGACCTATAAACGAGAAAATGTATTAGACTGGGCTAAGATTGTCTTGCACATATAAGCTAATTAACAATAAAAATATCGCTCCACCGGGTCATTTATATTATTACTGATAGTCAGACGATTATGAAGAAGACGACGTAAGATTTTACTTACATTCACCAGAGTGATGCGAAGATAGGAGGTTGCTGGGTTTGTGATCTGTGAAGTATTCAGCGTTGTTAAGATTCAGTCCATTCAAAGCACTGTCCAATTTCAAGCAGATGTAACAGGTAGAATCAGATTCAGATTCATCATCTATTACTTCAGCAGCAAGATATGCAAACGGTTTCCAATTATTTTCTTTATTTAGAAAATACACTAAGGCTCCAGAGTCCCCGCGTTCAAATGATTGGTTACTTTTTGGAACAATCACCGCATTCTGAAAAACAACTTCCTTGGAATTCAGGCAAAGATAATTCTCACTCAATCCGCGAATAACGTCAAGTTTTGCGTCCGCTGTTCGAACTTCGACCTTTGGAAAATCAAAAAAATTTTCAAGAATCTCATAGCTTGCCTCCTCCAAATCTAAATTGAGAGTCATCTGATTATTTACAGCAAGCTCCTGAAAATCTTCCTCCCTACCAATGACGATGTACATAATATCGACTTCTTTATTAGACACCACTCTCGTTTGATCCGGAACACACCGACAATCGGTTGTCCGTTGTAAAAGTATACCATGCTTTCTTCGTTAACTGTGGCATTTTGAGATTCTTGGATTTCCATAAATTGGACTCCGCCACTAAAGTCTTGTTGAGGGTCATCCAAATTATTGACAACACCCGCATGAGCACAGGTAAAGGCATAGTACATACCATTCTTAAGGCAGAACATTGTCAATGTTCCAAAACTACCCTCGGTTCTTTCCGCTATAATTTTAGACAGCATTCGAAACTTTGCTTCTTTCAATGGTTTAGATCGTAATTCGATGTATTTCGATGCTTTCCATTTTAACTTTTCATCGATCTCATTTTTGATAGCAGCCTCCAAATTTTCTTTCTCAAAATCAACTGTGACATACAAATAAGGAAACGGCATCTTCTTGTTTGGGCGAGCTATTCCATACTTCCCACTAAGCCACGAACAACTTAAACAAGAAACGATAACTATATATTGTCTAAAAACTATTTTTCGTAATGTTCCGACATGCACAGGTCAACATACATAATCGATATCCCATGAAAGAAAAATTACCTTTGGAGAGCCTTGTGAACGTCAGCTTTAATATTCTTACTTTTGTCTAGAAGTTTATGGAAGTTGTCGTCATGATTTGCTTCTAAATATCATAAAAATATAATTGATAACTTTGGTGCACCAACATTAACTACGATGAAACTTCCATACGATAAGACATAAATAAGCCTAAAAATTGACTAACCATATACATGGGATTATAAATTACTTTGCTCTGGATTCTGTGTCGAATACCTGTTTTGCAATATCATCTATTTAAAAAAATCACAGCAGGAAGTACACTGATAAAAAGATTTTTTTGAGTGGTATCGCAGTGCGCTGCGTAGTGTGAATAAATATTTGGAAAATTTACAAGTATTATATTCGTAATAGAAAAAACTAGAATCCTGATGCAAATAAGCTTAATATATCTTATATGAGATGTTTTCAAACTTTGTTTAGAACGCAGGAACACAAAACAGAAAAGAAAATTTTCTCATACATTTTAACAGTAAGAATCATTTGTTCGTTATAAGTTATAACATACTTTCAACATATTGAAGAAGCTGTATTTTTTAGTTACTTTAACTGCACGTAGCTAGAGTGCTCAATTCCTAATTTTTAGAACGAATAAATGCTTTCAAATATTATGCTATTTCAATAATTTCACTGTTGTTAGCAGAGCAAGGAAGGTGTGTTATGTACTGCAGCAATTCTGACTAACTTTGTAAACTTTTCTATCAATTTTACTACTTGTTATTTAGTTTATAAAAGTTTTATTATAAAATGGTACATTAGGTTAACCAAAAACTCCAACTCTTGCTGCAATAAAAAAAACGTTTACAAATAATTGCTGCAAGCAAAGCAGAGAGCTTCTATATTCTTATGTGTGTACGATATAAAGATTTTCATGGTATGTACAACCATCAAAATATTATGAACAACGTCATGCTAAATTTTGCACCATTCATCAAGGTGATGAAATGTACAGATGATATGTACAGGCACTTCGTTTTCTGTTAGATATTTTTAGTTCATAAAAAAGAAATTTTGAACAGTATTGTAACAAATCAAACGAAATAGACTAACCAACGGTAAGACAAATGAAAAATCTCTTCAGACTATATATTTCATAGATCAAATTCGAACATATCAAACAGTTTTTTTTAACAATGGTATTTAGAAAAAGAAAAAATACATGCTAAGTACTTTAAACGTAGCAGCTGGTTAGTATCTGTATTTTATATGAAATGAATAGTGACACAGGATCTTTTACAGTTACTTGCTTAAAAACCACTGTAAAATAATTTATAAAAAT